TGGTGGAGAAGACAATGGGCACAAAGAAGGAGTGCTCTACCTCCAGAACTCGCCGCTCATATTTCCTCCGCTTCTCCTGCTCATGCTTTCTATAGACAGACGGGAGTGTAAGGTTTCGATTTGAGGGGACAAAAGGGTTGAACACCCGAACATCAAACATTGTCCTCTCAAACCTACTCCCATACAACCCCCGCGCTGCCACATCCAGCCTAGCATGGTCTTCGATGTTGGTCGACCGAAGAGGGAACATTTCACGTTGTAGTTGTAAAGTGCAGGAAGCTGGTGTATTCAACAATCATCCATTAGTATGTGTTGCTCTTTTGTCATCCTCTTGTTCACTGCCTTTCTTCTGCATCTTCACAACTGATCTCCTTGTGCTTACTGTATGCTGCGGACCGTCTTTTCCCCACAGATATTGGTTTGGAGTTCTTGTTGGGCTGGAGCATACCGGAGGGTGGTGAGTTACCAGACACTGCTGGCTATCAAGTATTGCTGAACGGACAGCGGTTTGACAATGTCCTGCCGCTGAGCGCCAGAGTGGCCTCCATCCAGGTTAGTGTGTGTGTCTACATGTGTGTGCGTGTGTGTGTGTTCGTGCGTGCGTGTGCGTACGTGCGTGCGTATGTGTACGTGCGTGGGTGCAGGTTAATAAGAGGGTCTTCGTGCACATGGGTCTACAACGAATACACGCAATTAATACTCGATATGAAATAGCTCAGTCATTACAAATCATAACACAAATGCTGGCTTTCCATGGCAGCATTGCATTTGATGTGCTGTGACAAACTTTTTTTAATGTTGCGTATGTTTTTTTTGGCTCCTCCTAGGACGCAATCACCTGATCACCCGTTTCTGCATTGTCCTATGAATTACACAACCACGTAAAGTGTTCAAGTGCCGTATTTCCCCGAATATAAGTCGCACCTTTTATACTAGACGTCATGGCCAACAAAGGGACTTACAATCGAGCATGACTTACCATATGTACTGAAATGAATACATGTATTTTGGAATTTGAAATGGCATGACACGGACCTGAAAATGGGGGTGCGACTTACAACCGAGTGCGAGATTCAATCGGGGAAATGCGGTATGTGCGTATCATAATGCAATGCCTCTTTGACTTGCCTGACACGTGTTTATGTTGCAGCTGTCGGATCCCAGTCGGACGTACGACCTGCGTGTAGCGATGGTGGATGCTGAAGGCGCCGTGCTGCGATCATCTGAGGTCTGGCAGCTGACCGCAATGGACTACGTACCGGTGCGCTACTTCTGTATGACACACAGCCACGTCAAGGGTGCAAAGTAAGTCGCTGCTGCCGCCGCTGCTGCTGCCGCCGCTGCTGCTGCCACCACCGCTGCTGCTGCTGCTGCCGCCGCCGCTGCTGCTGCAACAACAACAACCCACAATCCTATTTCCTATTTTGTGTGTGTTTTCCTGTGTTGCACTTGTAGATATCCCGAGCATGGCTGTTGCTCCTATCTGGAAAGTTTCCGGGAGGAGATGAAGACGATGGACGCATCCAATGCCATTCACAGGGGCCTGATGGTGGACGTTGAGAAGATGCGCGAGGATGACTACCGCAAGCCTGTGGCGTCTGCTGTCTCCCTGACTAGTACTCTGGTCTTGGACATTGCCACGGATGCACGCGTGCCGCTGGTTGATCCCGACCTTCCCAAGGACTGCTTGCAAGTCATCCTATTCTGGACAGACTGGTGAGTTACAGAGCGTCGCATGCAGTCCTCGCCGCAAGATGCTTGGATAGACACACTCTGGTTTTGATATGCTCTTGCCGACATGTGCATGTGTGTGTGTGTGTGTGTGTGTGTGTGTGTGTGTGTGTGTGTGTGTGTGTGTGTGTGTGTGTGTGTGTGTGTGTGTGTGTGTGTGTGTGTGTGTGTGTGTGTTGTGTGTGTTGTGCTTGTGTTTGTAAATGTCTGTTCTCGCGATAGCCTTTGGCCAATATTAGACAGAGGAGAAAGTGCGAGAGAAGTTTAAGGGTGTCGAATAGTCGTTAGTTTGAAGGAATAAGGACGTTTAGCAATGCGAAAATTCGAACTTTTGGTGGTGGTGATATTTCGCGAAAATCTATTTCGAAAAAGAAAACTTGTGAGGTTTAGCAATGCGAAATGACTTTTTCTCGAAGCTTTTTGAATCTTAGTTATAGTACCGTACCGTATATACAGCTCAGTCTCAAGCAGGGGGCTGTAAAATTACTACTCCCTGTAGTCAAATGCGTACCGAGAAAAGAGAAAGTTACTTTCGGAAATCACTGCAACTTCGCGACCAAGTTTTCGAAGTTTCGAGCTTTTTTCTGTACTCATTCCCAGACTCGAATTTTCTTTCGATCTTTCGCTTTGCTAAACGTCCTTAATAAAAAGGAAAAAGCAGATGTTTTGAAAGAAGGTTTCAATTCTTTGTTTTTGTTGTTGTTGCTGCTGCTGCTGCTGCTGCTGCTGCTGCTGCTGCTGTTGTTGTTGTTGCTGCTGCTGCTGGTTTTCAGGTGCACGACGGCCCAGCAGACACTGACTCTCTTCCAACAGTATGCCGCAGTGAACGCGAATAATGTAAGTGCACGGTATCTCTGTGTGCAGGTGTGTTTGTGTGCATGCAGGTGTATCTCTGTGTGCATGTGTGTGTGTGTGCATGCAGGTGTATCTCTGTGTGCATGTGAGTGCATCATGTATGTGTGCGTGAAGTACTGCAAGTGCAGTTGTGCTAGTTGAAACCCAAACCAAAGCGCATGTTTGGCACCCCAGACTTGCACTGACCTTGGTGGCCTGGAAGTGGCACGGACTACAAAATTTAATGCTGCTGGATGTACTCATGGACAAACACCATGGTGTAATGCTACAAATATGATGATGTAATGCTACAAATACCATGATGTAATGCTTGGGGATTGGCATGCTTGGTTCAAGGGGCCAGCTTTGCATATAGCAGCGCCAACAGCATGCGACGAGGCAGCGCCTTCCATTAGTCACAGATTGTGAATCTTCTCCGTCTCGTCAGTGATGGAGAGGGCCTGTCCAGCACCCTGCAGATGAACGTCGCACGCAATCACCAGCAGCAAGACTCATATTACTTGCTCGGCAAGATCAGGGTCATTGTTGAGCAAGTAACACAGTCATCCACTGCTGCCTGATCAGTGTACAGGCGACGTGATAGGAACAGCGGAATGGTAGCAGCAGGTGCAACAGCCTTTTCAAGCAAAGCTTTCACGTTGTTCTCCTTTTTCCTATCCGCCTCAGCCATCAACATGAACACCTTGAATGCCTGGCCGTAAAATTAGCATTCATGTAGTGAGCAGTGCAAGTTCTGCTCTTCTTCTTGTGTGACTGACCCACCTTGTCATGACATCATGTTTGCTTTATTCTTGTTATGTCACTCGTGCCCGTACATGTACACACACACACACACACACACACACACACACACACACACACACACACACACACACACACACACACACACACACACACACACACACATACATACATACATACATACATACATACATACATACATACATACATACACACACACATACAGGTGCTAAGGTTCCAGCACTGCTGCGTCGAGTGCACGCACTACTCCGTGGATGACATTCGCACGATGCATCGCGCCGGCGGCTGGCTTGACGACACGGATGTTGACAATGGGCGGGCGGGCAGCAAGGCTGTGTGTGGCTGTCATGTGCTCAGAGCCGGCCGCCTTCTACCCTCGCAGGTCTTCAAAGTCGTTGGAGTGCCCACAATAGCCATTGTCTACAGTAAGGGTCACGGTCTTTAAATCTATGCAATGCTTGTACTTATGCGGGGCCGAGGAGAGGGGGGGGGGGGGGGGAGTATATGTATCAGTGGGTGTTCAGGGTGTTCAGTTGAATTCCAGGGAGTCATTCTCATAGCCTCCATGCCGCCGTTATTGCTCTCATAATTATACTGAAGCTCGGCAATGGAAAGTAGAAACAGACCTTTGAGTGAAATTCCTCAACATGTTTCTTTTGCCTCATTGCTGTTGAGTGGTTTGTCTTGCAGGTGTATTTACATTGTACACTCGAACGTCTCTTATCCGGGCACCTTGGGACCGGGCACTGCCCGTGTCTCAGATTTGCCCGTATCTCAGGATAACTCATCTATCACGTACCATATCAGTTTTGATGAAGTGATGACACTGTGTGGATTACACAAGTTGGCAGCGACAAGTATGCAATTGTGCATAGGAAAGAAGAAAAAAAGGTTCAAAATCCCCAAATTCGAAGCATTTTGCAATAGTAACTCAAGCTGAAGGTGCCCGGTAGAGAGACGTGCCCGTATCTGAGGCGTCCGGATAAGAGACGTTTGAGTGCAGTATATTATATAAAGTAAAGAGGCTCCGAACCTGGGTTTCCCAATACAGCTCAAATGGTCGCAAGACCGGGACTCTGCCAACCGGGTTATGGTTGTAGTCAGGAGCACTATGTGTCCTCGCCTTGTAACATGCTGTCAAAATCGAAAAACATGTTAGTAGTACAGTACTAGTACGAATATCTATTGCAGTACATGTACAATAGTTCTCCGTGCCTCACTGCTAAGCATGATGCTGATGACATCTTCTGATAAGAAGTCAGTAGTGTCCTGTGCTCTTCCACATGTGCCTCAAGTCCTGTAGGTTCTGTTGTCTCATTGAATAGCAGGACTGTACACTTTGGAAAGTCTTTAGCCCCCCCCCCCCCCCCCCCCTACACTTGGTTGTATGTACTGAAATCACGGTGACACGTTGTCATTTTCCATTTTTTTTGTCATTGATTGTCATTCACAGAGGAAACTATAATCTGGCAGGGACGTAATTGTGCCAATACACCGGAAGAGTTTGGTGCCATGATGCGCCACACCATTGGCAGTATCCGTGGCGACACGCCGTGTCCCGTCGACTCCTGCATGCACTGTCGGCCGTGCGAGGAGATGCTGCCGAAGGCACTGCAGACGGAGCTGACCGGGCTGCGCGGCATCAGTCAGCGCAGCGTTGCCCGGCCCACCATCAGGCGACCGCACCGCGACGACGCGTCTCCAGTGCCATCGCCAGCACCATCGCCAGCACCATCGCCAGCACCATCGCCGTTGTCGGCATCGCCGGCAGCACCGTCATCGCCGGCAGCACCATCATCTCCAGCACCTATGTCACCAGTAGCAACAGGCCGTGACAGTAACAATAGCCTATCCACAACCAGTCCATCCAGGAATAGTGATTTCCCAGTACAAGGATCAGTCAGAAGACTCCGAGCGAGCTTCCGCTGAATGTAAGATTTCACTGTCTGTTTTGAGCTTCAGCATATACATTGTCAATGGGAGTCACACAGAGCCTATGCCACCCAGTGACTCATCGGATCATTTTTGCTGTGACAGAATGTGCGTTCTCACCACATCACCTTCTACCTTACGCAGTACCCCATGTGCATGCTCTGGTGGCGTACTCTGCATCCCAGGACACGCATGCGCAATCAAGATTGTTCAGCGCAGCACCACCTATGAGGTCTTTCTTGTCGGATCTGCACATCTACACATCCTGGTCCAAATACACTGAGTTCAAGTTTAACTTTTAAAGCGTCCGCATAGTTTTTTCATTGTTCCTGTATTCGATTCATATCAAGCCGTTTGCATTGTCACCGATAGCTTGGCTAGAGCCACTCTGTTCGCTACCATAATATCGGTCTGCAAGCATGGTAATTCTGTTTAGAATGCTCCACGTTCTTCTGGGGAAAACTGCATTTTAAATTTACGAGTAGGTCATGTTTAATTTATTGTATTCCTGACTAACGATCTACATCTCGATTTCATAATACTTTATCAATTGTCCACGCTAGCCGGATGGAGATTTGGTCACTGCATGTTCTTTGTGCGTGTCCTCGACTGTCTAAACTCAACATACGCCGTCAATCCGGAGCTTTATTGTGATTGCATGACAGAATTATTATCAATTTTTTCAAATTTTTGATAGGGCAATCCCCACAGGAAGTGTGCACCTCTGAGCATTGGGAAGATGGCCGGCCTGTATGCATAAATTCGTAATTATGGATTGGCTAATCTATGTTGAACATCCACCCGTAAAAAAAACTTTTCCCTCTCGCTTTAAAATTTCTTAGAATTGATTCCCAGTTGCGGGCATGCCGTCCGTGTGTCCTCTATGCCAGTTCTCGGCGACTATTTCTTCTCAATCTGATTTTAAATTCTTTCTCACTCACCGCTTTCCCATGCAAGTTTTTACTTCACGCACATTGCCCGTTGCTTATCAAAAATAGAACTGTGAATTTGGCCGCTTCCATCACACTCTACAACCAGCACTGGTTTTCTGCCTGCAATTTAAGTTAAAAAACATTTAGCCGTGGCTTCTTTGCCGCTCCCATCACTGTTACTACATGTACATGTTGTATTGTGTACTGGTCTGGGAGTACTCCCTGGTGTGTGTGTGTGTGTGTTCTCTCGAGCTCTCTCTCTCCTACTCTCCCCTGTCTCAGGGGCGACGTGGCCAAGCATTTAGCAGCTGTGTGTGTGTGTGTTCTCTCGAGCTCTCTCTTCTACTCTCCCCTTTCTCAGGGGCGACGTGGCCAAGCATTTAGCAGCTGTACATACACCAGGCCAGGTGTGTGTGTGTGTGTGTGTGTGTGTGTGTGTGTGTGTGCGCGTGTATGTGTGTGCGCGCGCGCGTGTGTGTGTGTGTGTTGTCTCCAGAGGACTAGTAGAGGAGCCCTTGACACTCGTTCACGTAACCCTGCATCTTAGTGCTCTCTTCAACCACTGAAGTCAGGTCCCGTCAACATACATGTACGGTCAGGTTGTCCCCGTTCCACCCACACCCTCAATAAGAGAGAATAAGCTCGCAGGGAGCTCAATTACTCTTGATGAAGTGCACCAGGGTGTCCTATAGTATTTAGAAAATAAACCGGCATTTTATGACTCCCTGGTCTGCGCCAGTACTGAAATTGAACGCCATTTCAGCCTTAAACCAGGGAGTCGTAAAATACGACTCCCTGCCTTCAACCAATGAAATGGGGATTTGAGATTCACATCTCCACCAGGGAGTCGTCAAATGCACTCTACTGTAAAAAAAAAAGAAAGAAAGAAAGAAAAGAGTAAAGCTCATACGTCCGCATTGCATGCAGGCTTTGCAGCCCACAGTACAATTGTGTTGCGAAACACAACCAGCTCAGGAAGTTTTGCTTGACTTAGGCTTGTGCTTTGTGATAGCAATACGCCAGGCTATTGTGTATCTAGAGCTGGCAGTAGTATGTGTCGGGCGGGTTCTGGAACAGGCACATGCCCCAGCCCGAAAAAAATGGAGTATTATTGATAGTACACCATTTTTGGGGTAAAAAACCGGGTGCCCTTTTTTGAATAAAAATGATTTTCGGGTGTTGGAACTTGGAGGTGTTGAAGGGGGTATATGATTGTACCCCAATGGTTGTACCTGATCATTGCCCAGGATGGGATTTGACACAATACTACCAAGGGGGTTATGAACTACTGCTGGCCTTTTCTACAAGGGGGGGGGGGGGGGGATGTTCATAGAATCATAGTAAGAAGTTTGTCGCCATGCACTCCCCCATGCGATCTAGAAGTATGTACATGTATAGCATACTGCATACGTCAGCTCACACGAACACTACAAATGACCTTCACATCTAGCAAGGCACAAACATACGTGTACTTGCACTTGCAGTTCCTATGAAAATCCGTTGTACAAAAAAAAACGTTGAACAACGCTTTGTGGATAAAAACTAAAAACGAATTATGTCGGAATACAATAGTGTTTTGCATCAGTGTAGTGACATCATGATGAAAATAATATCTCTTTCATGCTTAGATATAGCCAGATTGCTATGCTGCAAATCTGCCAACATCTGATAGCATTCGTATGCGAGAACAATGATCACAATCGTATGAGAACAAAAGCACGAAGCCATACTGGTGGCGCGAGTCTGGGTTGCAGAAGTAATGAGTACGAGTCGAGCTTCGCCAGCAGCAAGGCCTAGCCTGACGAATTGTTGGCATGTGGTAGGGTAGAGCCGATGCCCTGCTAGCGGAGGCAATGTTGCCGCCACTACCGGCTGCCTAGAAAGGCACGGTGCAGCATTGACAATGAACAGAGCCCAGTTCGACAGTCGGTCACATACACACACACACTAGTTATACCACTCAGCCTAGGCCAGAACTACGGGTAAAGATGCCATACAGGGATTGGTAAATCTGCGGAGACAGGAGAGCACCACTAAAGAAACCACGCAGGTCTTCACTCTTCACCACACCAAATGGCAATTACACATCAAATGTACGTACATACAAGTACACCCAATGCTGTAGACAGCAAGTTACATACGAGTACATGTATGAGAATAACTGACCCACCGCAGGGGGCCAAGAACACAACAACATACATGCGGACGTAGCTCAGTCCGTCTTGGTCGATTGATCTTCGCGAAACGCGAGGATCACGTAGATGGCGATGAGCACGTGGATGATGACAACGGACGCAATGGCACCACCAATGGCACCATCAGCCCATCCAAACAGACCTGTGCGATGAGACCACAACAACATACAAAGCAGCAGCAACACAGCACAGTATAAATATAGTGCTGACAAGCAGATTTATACTGAACACAGTCAAAACCATGGCAATGCTTGAATTTATTTTCGTGTGGCACTTTTTCGTGCCAAGAAAAACACCCAGGCAGTCAGCAACAAGAGAGTAACGTATACATACGTAGGTAAGATACCGGTACTCAAGTACTAGATCTCTCTCTCTCTCTCTCTCTCTCTCTCTCTCTCTCTCTCTCTCTCTCTCTCTCTCTCTCTCTCTCTCTCTCCCCCTATCTCTCTCTCTCTCTCTCTCTCTCTCTCTCTCTCTCTCTCTTCCACCTACTTCGAAGTACTTGTACTCCGAAGTTGTCACGAAAGGAAAGGATGGGAAATTCCAAAGGCAAGTGTCAATCATCACCGTGCGTGAAAGAGTGAGTGGATGAGTGAGTGTGTGGATAAGGAAGTAAATCAGAATTAATTTTGCTGCACAAACACAAGACCACGCTCACCTTCTAACAGTACATGTTTGAATGCAAAGTACCCGCTAATCGGTAGGAAGATCATGGCAAAGGAGAATATCAGCAGAGTACGCAACGCTCCTCGCTCACGCGATGTCCATTGTCTGCACACACACACACACACACACACACACACACACACACACACACACACACACACACACACACACACACACACACACACACACACACACACACGGCAACCAACACAGAAGATCAGGCACACGCTGGGGACACACCAGCAATACTTGATAGTTGATACTTGTGGCACTGCAAAGACTGTGCTCGTATCAGAATGTATGTATAAGGATGTGTGTGCGTGTGCATGTGTTTGTGTGTACATACGTACGTACATGTGTGTGTGTGTGTGTGTGCGCACGCGCGTGTGTGTATGCACCGGCTGTAAAACATACATTGGCTGCTGGTGACTTGCACAACTGGACAGTACAGGCAAGTGTACACAGTAGATCTTTATCGGTATGCACTAGCCAGCTTGTCTCCCACTAGTAAATTATACAATCATGTACACTCAAACGTCTCTTATCCGGATGCCTCACATACGGGCACGTCTTTCTACCAGGCACCTTCAGCTTGAGTTCCTATGGCAAAATTGCCTCTATTTTGAGTTTTACGAACTTTTCTCATATGCACACGTGCATACTTGGCACTGCCAACCTGTGTAATCCACACATTATCCTCAGCGGAATATTTTCTATCCTGAACATGTGCGATACGTGCCAGATGAACTTCATGAAAATCTAGCATGACACATGATAGATAAGCTGTCTGGAGATACGGGCAAATCTGAGATACGGGCAGTGCCCGGTCCCAAGGCGCGATATAGATAAAGAGACGTTCGAGTGTACATGTAGTGTACCGTGTGCCGGTACTATTATTATGCCTATGGTGTGGATTACCAGGAATGAGCCAAATCAAATCCTGATACCACTCAAGACACTGACTACGCTTCCAAATGATCGCTTCCTCCACAGGTCTCTGTAAATATTTCTATGCTATAAATACGTGTTTAAAATGTGTAATAGAAAAATAACCTTTCAAATGTAGAACGAGTGCTGGTGCTTGGTGGTGCTACTACATGTACTACCAAGAGTGCATAAACATGTTTATGCACTCTTGGTAGTACCGGTATGTCAGGGCCTACAATGCAGATGGAAAATGTTCTTGAAATTAGACATGAAACAGGGAGATTTGAAAATCATGTGCATGAAACCGCCACAATAAATTATGAGGAATCAACGTGACGCACAGGATACCAATAGTTATCGGACAACGATACCTTGCGCAAGCCCCGATTCAAAAGCTGTAAACTTCTGCAGACAGTGGTAGATTTATGCACTGACACTTGAAAGCAAAAAGATGAATACTAGTTACTCACTTTACGAATTGGGCTGGCCTTTCGGGCTCCTTCGTCGCCGCTGCTGTTAGGCGAGGGGAAGAAAACTTTTCCATGGTGAGTGAATGGAATCTGAGGCCTGATATTTCCCGATTATAAACTTTCCAAGCAACAGAAGCAATTACAGCAAAGTAAGTTTTAGTTGAAAATGAAATGAGACGATTGTGTATGATCAAGAGTAGATAAATGATACGTGGACGTGGATGGATGAGTGCGAAATGAACCAACGCAACGTGCAACGTAAAGTACAAGTCGTCATGATCATGTCACATGTGACCATGCATGGTGTCATGCTGGTTTTATTTGGGCAGCTGGCGCATGACGCGCAGCAGGATTCTAGTACTGTTACATTCCGGTATGCTTTCAGGTGCCTCCTTAGCGCAGTAGGCAGCGCGTCAGTCTCATAATCTGAAGGTCGTGAGTTCGATCCTCACAGGGGGCACATTCTTTTTTTCTCTTCCACGCATGCTTTTATGTGAATTTTCGTTTTGAGCGATACGGTATGCTAACGGTATACCGTAGCTAAAACTAAAAGTAAAACATCAGGTCTACAAGGCCATGCTATACATAGTCTACAGTGCAGAGTCTGGTCCGACCTGAACTAACGTTTTCGTTTCGTGAAAAATATCGATAATGCCGGATCATGGGATGGCCCCTATCAGGGAGTAGTGCGTATTGTGCTACTCCCTGGCCCCTATTATAAAGGGGGCGTTCTTTTTTTATCGGGGAAAGTAGTTAGAAACTACTTTTTTTTCTTTAGAGGTACGCTATTTCTGTGCATGTGTGATTATGAGAGCTGGTTTCCACAATATATCGTACATTGTACTGCAAATATTGCAAACACAAATTTTACATTGATGTTCTATCGAAATGGGTAGATCAGGATCCGCGAACTACCATCTAACAGTTGCTCAGTCGCACAGACGTGACCGAGCGTGCACAGTTGGATAGAGCGACACCAAGAGTATAATTATACCCCCCGGTTATATACTCTTGGCGACACCAAGACAACTTCTTGGAGAGCCTCACATTACAACCAGGACTGAGGTGAAGTCCGGTGAAGCCAATCAGCAGCGGTGTTCCGTTAAAAAGACTTAAGAGTGTTAATGCTATGAAGAGTGTTCACACTGTTAACGAATAAAAACCTGAATACTAACGAAAAGAATGATCACTACTACTACTAGACTGTCGAAGCGACACAAAAGAGGACACTAAACGACCAAACACCAAACTATATACAGACCACCATACACACGGAATTCGGAATGGAGAGCTAGGTTGGCAGTCCGAATACACCAAGATGGACACATCGTAAAATATAACTGCAAACAAGACAACAACGGGATGGACCGGCAACAAAATCTAATCAGCCATATACAGGTAGCGTTCAGTACCATGTACTGTTGTTGTCGATCAGCAGTCAAAAGACAAAGAGCTTTTCTTTTTTTAACTACTGTCCTACACAGCTATATCGTAGCAAAGTACAAACATTATTAAAATCACACCCATACGTCTTTGTTCAGGCACTGAAGAAGAGGCCCTCCAGCAGCTCGCGTGTCTCATTCGGGTTCGTCACCTTGTGGCCGATCGTGCGCGAATCCTCGTAGATCTCATAGTCATTGCCACCGGGATACGCCTTGTCGCCGAAGAAGTGAATGGTTTTGTAACCGTCCTTCTCCACGAACTGCAGGCAGTATGTCTTGTCCCAACCCGTCGGGAACACGTCAAAGCTAATCTGGCCACCGATCGAGTACTTCAGGCCAAAGTCGGGAAATTCTCTCTCGAGAGCCGCAACGAAATTTTCTCGGATCTTGTGCTCCTGATCATAGGCAAAGAATTCCATACGCTCCTCCTGGGAGCAATCTCTACCCACTGGGCATACGTTGATCAAGCCACTGCGGAACTCTATGAATGTACCTCGTTTTTTGGGCAGCTGGATATCGGCCATGTATTTCAAACAGAAATTGATGAATTTCTGCAGCTTGTCGTCGCCGAAGTCCTTGATGCTGGTCGTGGCCAGGTGTTTACCATCCTTGTACGCCACTAGGCCATTCTCTGCGAACACGTAGTCATACAGATCCAGCACATCACCGTCCATCTGCTCCGAAATCTTCGCCAGATTGGATCCTCCGACGACACCAATTTTACACTTCGTCCTCAGCTCAGCCATGAATTTCTTCATTTCAGGCGTGATGACGAGACGAGAGGCCGTGAGGGTGCCATCTACGTCGAACAAGCACAGGGTCTCCGGGTTGGCCATTTCCAAATACTAGGGCGATAGACAATAGAGAGGAGAGAAAACAAACTGGGCTTTACGCCTGGACTGATGCGATTCTGGACTTTTTCGGATTCACTGAACCGCTGTTCTATCTACAACAACTCTGCTGGTACGCGTCACTGCACTGGTCACCACTCACCACTAGGCCAGGTGACGACAAAGCCCTGCAAATAAAAGTGGAATGCACTACTTGTAGCTGCCAGATCTCCCCAATGAAAAACACTTCCACTACCTATGTCCTTCCAAGGCGTCCGTACCACTGCATGTACTGACGGTGGCTGCTGCGACTGCACGAGTAGAGTGAGAGGAAGTGGAGGAGGAAAGCACTTGAAGTCTTTAGAGAGCAGGAGACAAACGGTTTATTATGAAAGACTGCAGGTTTACGCAATTGCTGCGATTATAAAATGCCTGCCCAATATGAACATCCCCGTTCACGTGTTGCGACCTGGCCGCTTGAGCCTAGTTGGAATGACTCAGACAGAGAGATGAATGACAAGCAGCGTGGAATATCTGCATTGTAGTAGTCTCGTGGCTTTGACGGATGACCTGCCTGTTCTCATGCAAAGAAAAGATTACAAAGGTGAGCTCGTGTGCACTTTGACAGGATTCTCCACACCAGCCATTCGCCCCAGAATCGGCGAAGTCACCTACAGTACTTGTAGTGTCTACATTGTGGCTGGTCCCATCCACAAACCAGGCAAAGGGCCAAACCTGCAGGCTGCACCCCAGTATGAAGACTAAAGACTAAAGTAAAGTGACGTTTCTGTCTCATACTAGCATCACCTGTGCATTGTGCTTTGTACATGACATTTGTAGTATTACTATTACTTAGCAGCTACGTCATTGAGCCAGACCGTTTCTTTCAGGCATTGACATACTCCCTTGTTTGAGGCAAGGCTACATAATGTGACAGCATGTCCCATGCATGCTGGAGCCAGAAGTGAACACCATGAACACAGGCGATCTCGACTTTTGTCTTTGTCTGCGATCTGCAGCCGCTACCACAAGCACTACAAAAAAATTGTCAACGGGGCATGAATATCGAATGCATGCAGTGTCCGTAAAAATTAGAAAGCCCAGTTCAATAGTAGGTTAAAGAATTTAGACAAATAATTGCACTGCACATCTACATGTACATGCCATGTATACAGTAAAACATGTCAAGGCGACCACTGGCACCGGGATAAGGCGACCACCTGTCCCAGGGGACCACTACAACCAGGACCAAGGGATGCTACCTCCAGTCAAATGACCCTGGATAAGAAGACCACCAGGCCCTGTACATGTACAATGTATACAGCGACCAGGTTTCGAAGGTCCCTTGAGCGGTCGCCTTAGACAGGTTTCACTGTATTGTACAAGTGAGGTAGAGACTGAAGCCTGCAACAGTGGGTGTGCCTGTGTGCATAATGACCTGGTCTCGAGTAGGAGCTGAGGGAGTGGTGGTTGGATACGCGAGGAGCTTCATGTATGTCGGCATCCATTTTCATATTGTGTGCTCGCTTGCTCAATGCGAGAGCAACGAGACACTCTGAAGAAACTTCAAGAAAGCCTTACCACTCTACTTTCATTCGCTTGCGCAATTGCGGGGCCTACACCTGTCATAAAGGGTAATGGAAAGGCGAAAAAGTCAACTCCCAATAACCGTACTCAGTTCTAACAGAATTTCAAGCTGGCGCCATTTGCATGAAGCAGAATGCTTACACATGCGCATGTGCATTTTCTGATATCGCAGGATCCACATGTGTCCGCACATCACCTGTGCCGGCTCGAAGGTGTTTGCCAGTACAGGACAAGCCATATTATATAATATGATCACGTCACAAGAAGTGCATGGGGACCGTCTGAAACTACACGCATCTGTCGAACATCGCATCGTAAACCAGTTGATATCAGTTTCCAGCCGTTAGGAAAGCTATCCATTGGAGAGCTGCACACTCACGGTCGGTAAAGGAGGCCATGGGTTACCATCAGGGAGTAGTAAAATACCGGCATTTTACTACTCCCTGGTTACCATGGTCAGCATACTGTATGATGTATTCCCCCAAGTAATAGAAAGGTTCTGCATAACGTAATTACGTTGGTACTTCAGTAAAAACACATAGTCGATCTACGGAAAGTCTTACGTTCACTGCATACGGGTCTGTGTTCCGCCATACGGACTTTTCAAATCGCGTAGCTGCCCTTGGCCACTCGGAACGCGGCAGTGTACGACCGGTTCGACCTGGGGAGAGAGTCATAAATGTGTGCCCCAATCCACTTACGGACCAGCTACGTTATCAGAGCCCTATCTATGTACTCTACATAGCCAGCCTTCCGTAAGTGGAGTGCAAACTCGTGAGTGCACGGGTTTTTCCCGCCCACTAACGTAAAGTTGCTCAACTTCTCTCAACTTTACGTAGTGCGTAACCTCTCTAATAAGTAGTTGATTATCTTACACTAAACTGAAACCAACCCAGTGTGACTTGCAATCGTGTGTGACTTACTGTACTACTCAAGCGAGGACCAAGATTGAAACGATGATTTGTTTATTTACTTCAACTTCCCAGGCCAGAGAACTGAATGCATGTACATGTACATGTAGGCGCGACTTCCAATTGGAGAAAGACAGTAGTCTCTCCTGATGTAAGTATCGGCCACTACAGAACTCCTTCAAATGTTTCCGCAATGACCTTGGCATAGTGCGGGCGATGCTCATCTGCTTTCCCTCGTTGCCTTTGCCGAAGTCAGATAGTCAGGGTGAACCAGATAGTGTGTGTGTGTGTGTTTACTGGCGCTTGTCTCTTGATCTATTTCAATCATAATCAGATTCGCTATCATTGCTATAAAGGGAAAATTTGCAGATTTGCGTGCTTTTCTTGCAACGGGCGTATACATGGTACGTGGTACATGGTGTTTACTGCATGGTGAGTGTTGAACGGGTCAAGTGTGCCTGCAATCCCGCACCTTGACGACGAGACTTGGGAACTGATGCCATGGCCAGACCAACCATTACCCCTCGTGATCATGGTGATGCCGCACGCTTAGCCAGAGTGGAAAGTATGCAGTTGCCCCGCAGCACCCGTTCAGCATGATGGCCCAGGACAAGATCATTTCGCGGAAATATCACTGGGATTCACTGTGGATCGACACGAGTTTGGAAGAACCCTGGGACACGTGTGTGAAAACCGGTGTTGAGAATCTGACCGTGCGATTTTTGTGAAATGTGTGGTAAGTGGATAATATACAAGTTTTTCAGGAGCGAAATATCGGGTTTCTACAAACTTTTTTCTAACTATGAATTCTTATGATTACCAGGGAGTCGTCAAAATAATATATTTGACGACTCCCTGATGAATACTAGTAGGAGGAGTTCATGACTGTGTACCCGCCATATCGTACACAAAAGGCTATGGTATGGCCGGACCATGTACCAGGGAGTAGAGGCGTAAAATAATGCAGTAGTCACTGGCTGAGTTGGACCATCAAAAAGTGAAAAACTGCCTACCCAGGTTCTGATTCCGGATGTCAGGATCTGGAATCCTTCTGCAAAAAGAATTACCAGTCACGTGCGCGTGCGTCGCTAGCACACGTTTTTCATCCAGATGTAGATCTACATGACTGTGTACATGCGCCATGTGCACATGATGTGGCCGGTTTGGGGTTCAGCCACAAAAGCAAACATTATTACAGATTAGACTCAATACGTATTTCAGTACATGTACGAGTACTTGCTCACTCGCAAGTGCTGGTGTCACTAGTATGTGAGTGTGAGTGAAAAAAGAAAGAAAAAAGTAGTCACTGCAGCTGTACATGTACGTCTGTACCAACACAAACTCAGTGCAGACTGACAGTCTGTACTGCCACATCTAGACTACATTATTGTAGACGTCTAGACTAGGGACCATGTACCATGCCAGGGCAGGGAGTCGTATAATACAGACTGTATTATACGACTCCCTGCCCTGGCATGGTCCCTAGTCTAGACGTCTACAATAATGTAGTCTATCAGTAGATCTACCCTGCATGCTAGAGACCGCGCTTAGCGCTATGCATGCCAAAAAAACGCTATGCATATACTGTAGATCTACACCAAGACGGCAAGAGTACAATCATAGTTTACCGTCTTGAGCAGTTGAGGCACTAAAAACCTGATTTTACTACATCAAATACTCAGTAAACCGAAACAATGCAGTTTGCATCAGGGAGTCGTATACGACTCCCTGGTTTGCATTCATGTACAGTGTACTACTAGTAAGTAGTATGTAGGCTAGGGTACCGGTATACCTGGTAATGGTATACCGGGTCGGGAATGCTGACGGAGTCCCGCTCACAGTGATCAGTGTGACTGCCACTAGTACGCACTAGTCTGCCAGTGGACAGTCCACTTCGAATGTTCGCGACCACATGTGCACAGCCTACACGCGCAGTGTCCGTATGCAGCTTCAGAAAAGTGCCAAACCTGGCATGGAGAGCATGAACACACAGCGAAACTGCGTCACCGCTGCTCCTGCAGCTCGCGCCCGACGGCTGAGTTTGGTCCACCGCGCACAACCTGTTGGAGCCGCAGCGAAATCCTAGATCCTGCTGATGATCTGCGCGCGCTATGCATTTGCCAGGCGAGCTGCTGGTCAGACATGCTCAGGCGCTAGGCGTGATGCACTTCATGGCGTGTCTGTTGATGGCAGTGTAGCGCATTGCGCTGACTGGTCTACCTGTTGCTGCCAGTACCACTGCTAATGTGTGTGCTGCTAGCCCTCGACCTGCCTCTCTAGACTCTACTCTGGACACGCGCCTTTTCAGTCAAAGGACGCTGTTTTCTTGTTAGCGAGCATCCGGTAAAGGAGAAGAAAAAGTATGTCGGACCAGACGACCTCACCGAACTTGAAGAGAGATGGCACTATGGTGGCCACTGCACAGGTGTGGATTTGCTTCGGATTTTTGAGACTGGCATCAGGCAAGTGCACTGCACCGGGTTAGCTGACCACCGTCCTGCGCCTGTCTTCCTTCTATTCTTTCCAGGAGGGCAAGGGCTTTCTAGAGGCTACAGGCTTCAAGGATGACGACGCGAAGACTCGCTCGCAAGTCACCAGCCCGCCGAAAATCGTCAGGCAGACGACCATGCAAGCCACGGCCAAGGTTGGTACACCTCCGGTGTCGTGTTCTGAATATTGCGAAAACGATAAAAAAAAACACTCCTTGCCTGTGTGCCCAGGGTCCGCGTACACCAAGTCTGCGAATGCATGCCGTAGTGAATTTATGGCAGAACGTATATGTATGGCTTTACAGCAGTAACCTCGCCACTGGCACTGGCGAACAGGAGATAACACTTGTTAACAGCACAACATTAATGGCGGGCGAGAGAAATGGAAGGTTAGCGCCGCGGTAACAGGTTGCTAGAACCTCTTTTAGTTTGGAATCTGCGAGCGAGCAGCTGCAAGATTCCCTGCCCATTCCCATTCATCTGCACGTATCAGTCGAGTCATTTTTAATTTGTGAATCTCCAACTCATTTGGTGAGAACGTGGGTGGTTGGAGGGTGAAAGCTGGGAGTTGGATTCATGAGGATTTCGGGCTCACCGGTTGCAGAGGCTGAGAGGGGACATCTGGAGTACGACCAATCCACAGTTGTACGGTCCTGTAGAATCTACATGACATCGTGTACACTCATGTTGAACCAAGACCTTGATACCAACATACAATACATGACGCTGTGCACTATTCATGTGCTTTCTCAGTTTCTGTGTTGTTCTGAAGTTCTGAACACACTGAAGTAGTTGGTCTCCATACTGAATACTGTACCCAGTGTCCATAGCAGTACCCTCACTTTCTTGTATTAGCTGCATTACTTTTTGTGTGCCCTGGAATGTCTATGTAGTACACTATAATTTATTATGTTTAGTCTACACTCCATGGCGCACAATACAATTTAGCTGATGAAGTATAAAACCTGCCAGTGCCTCCAATGACTTGGAACCTGAAAACTCCTCTCCGGCTCTACGATGCCGAGTCTGTCCCCCCCTCCCCCCCCCCCCCCCCTCCACGGGAAGCTCAGCTAATAATAGGAATAGCAGTGCATCATTGTTCACTGGTGGTACTGGTGCTCTCATTGTGGCATTGCCGTGCTTCTGGTGGCTGCAGGAAGCAAATGACTTTGTCGGCAGCATTAGTCATGGACGAACCCGTTCAGCTACGCGCCGGAGGAGCGGGGCAGCCAGTGAAAGCGGCGGCAGTGCTGACACCACGCCAGTGAAGAAGCCGGCAATGAAACGTGCCGGAACGATGGCGGCCACCGCAAAGGTAAGCCGCAGGATCTGGTGCAGCAACGCCTGCTGCATGTCGACGACAGGGGGAGCACATGTATCCTGTGCGGCATGGCATGCAAGCTCCACTGTGCCATGCCGGGTGTGGATGCAAGCTCTGTCATGCCGTGCCGTGTTAATGCTTCCAACGTCGATGATCTATGCACACAAGCCTATACATTTTCTTGTCAGCACAATAGAATGGTTCAACTTCTCTTTTCTGCACCGGCCGTAATCAGGCATCTACTGTAATTGGACGTCTTGCAGGCAGGTACTTGCTGCTGATGTTGAAAATTTGCCCCTTCTCATGGAAGTCAGCTCAAGTGTATGTTCGTAAATGATACTGAACTTGGTTTGGCGAGCCAGACCGAATTGAATGATGTGCCGCATCCACTGCGATTAAGATGCGCTTGACAGTTCTGTGATCCGGGCACGTCTCAGTTCCAGGGCGCCCGTAAAAGTAAAGACAGACACTATGGCAGTTTCACTTTCCAGCGTGCTGGTCAATACTCGTACATGTTGTTCCATCCGTCACAGTGAGGGTGAGAGGATGGCACCAATCTTGAATGCATGCTGTGCCTCCCGTCTTCAGTCCTGTCAAATATTCTTCACCACCCCCTGTTAATGTAGAGGAACCGACCACCATGAGGTACGCTGTTCTTAACTCCAACACACACATCATGTTTGTTTTATCATCACAGGAAGGCAAAGAATTCTTAGAGAGACAGGAGAAAGAGAAGGAGAAGGAAAAGGAGGCAGCCGCAGCTGAGCCAGAACCTGAGCCAGAGAAGGAAGCCCAGCCGAATCCATCACTAAAGCGGGACACGACGATGGCTGCAACCGCAAAAGTAAGGTTGCCGATGTCGGACATTCGTTTTACATCCATTATCCGTATTACCCTCTCCGTTTCGTTTCAGGACATTGAGCAATATGCCAATACCTCTCTGAATTACATGGCAGAAATACAACAGTGGATTGAAAGAGTCAAAGTGCCACACGAGGAGACACACTGGTGCATATGTCCGAAAGCCTGTGCAGCTAACCACCTTCCCAATGGCACGATGCACCAGTATTGAAATCATCGGGTGCTTCACTGCCCCACTTAGATTGCTGTATTGAGGTGTGCGTTGTCATTCAAGGCAGTATGTAGTATATAACCTTAAGTAATATGACCGTGACTACCCCCTCTGTCGCAACAACTATACACATACCAGTCTACACTCACATACACACCCACGTACACACCTTGTTTCCACGGACTACGTTGGAAGTCACTCCCAGTAGCAGAATACAGCAGTAAGGAAGTACCCGTACTTTACTCGGTCAACTCTGCCATTGCTTTCTCAATTATTGTGATAATCGGGCCAAAGTTTCCCTTGCGGCGCTCGAATATTCATTTTCATGCAAATACAAAACTTATGGAATGCAATATTTGCCTGAAAGAGCTAGGTACTGGTTAAACAAGGGTATACTACACGTCTACAGATTTTCGGCCCATTTATATTTTCGGCCTGTACTGCTGCTGCCTGTACACACTGTCACTCTGAACCTTGCAAAACACAATTTATTATTATTATTTGATAACCGCAATCAATAAAACTAGCTGAACCGACATTTGTGTACTTTATTCATGCAATGTAAAAACGGTGGAGATGATGTGCAATAAAACGATGAAAATATGAAGAAATGGTGTAGGGAAGAAATATGGATTCAAACAAGTTTCGTACAACACTCATCAGGAATCGTCGTTGTACTAAAGGACACTGAAACAAAAATTGAACTATTATAGAAAATCTAAGTTAGAGAAATAACACTAAGAGCAACAGCAGTGAAATTTACAAGTGTGAATTTTAACAATCAAAGCGAGAAATGAACAAAGGAGAAAGGAAGGAAAGACAACGTGATAACACATAACAGCAGTACATTACACCTAGAACATTAACGGCCAATTACATTGCATGAATAAAGTACACAAATGTCGGTTCAGCTAGTTTTATTGATTGCGGTTATCAAATTATTGTCTCCTCGCCGTGTGTTTAAATTATTATTATTATTATTATTAAATTTTGAATAGGGCAATCCCCACAGGCCTAGGGCCTTCTTACAGGGTACCCTATGTATTTCGACCGCAACAAATGCTCGGCCAAATATGACCAGGTCGAAAATAAAATTATACCGTATTTCCCCGATTGTAAGGCGCACTCGACTATAAGTCGCACCCCCACTCTGAGGTTTGAACCACATTATTTCAATACATGCATATATGTAGGATGTCACTCTCGATTGTAAGTCGCATCCCCTTCTTTGCCCTTGAAGTTTAGTGTAAAAAGGTGCGACTTACAATCGGGGAAATACGGTATGCGCCGAATATTTGTTGACTTACACGGTAACTTTACTCTCGGAAATACGTTTTAACCAGCTCTGGTCCAACCGATATACTATTGATGTAGCAGTCACTATAGGTGTAAGCTGCTATGCCTACGATGATACAGTCAGACCTCGCATAACCGCACACATCCGTTTTTCACAAAAATATCCGGATAGGCGAGGGAACCGGATAATCGAACACACATACTGTATGTAAGCATGGCATATGCTGTACATTTGTAACCAACTATTTTCTTCCGGATGGCGAGGGATCCGGATAAACGAGGACCGGATAAGCGAGGTCTGACTGTAGTGATCAATGCTGAACCTCCTTTTTTGTGCCATTGTTGAAACCCTGCAGGAAGGCCAGGCTTTCCTTGACAGCCAGCCAGCAGCAGCTCCACGTCGCTCCGATGCCAACTCATCTGCAGCTGAGGACAAGGCAGAGCCTGACAAGGCAGACCAGGACTCGGCTGTACCTGACCTGAAGCGTGCCGGCACGATGGTGGCCACGGCAGCGGTGCGTAACCATTGCATGACGGTAGCGTCGCTTACGGGGAATGGCCGTGTAGGGTGGCAATTATTGAGCTCTGAAAGTCCAGTTCCGCTCCAATTTAATGATAGGCTGGATTGTCCAGATACTAGTACTCGATAAGAGCATAACGTTACATGCTCTTTGTGCAACCATGCTTGTGTGTGTCATCCAGTACACTTCACAGCGAAGCAAACCTTCTCAACAACAGTGCTTACTACAATGTGGGTTTTTTTTAATAAAAAATAAATAAATAAACTACAAGCACTTCATTGGTACGGTTTGCTACAAGTAGCTTGGGTACACGAGGGAATGTGTTAGCTCCAGTGTAGAGTCCATGTTCAGAACTATGGATGAAAATCCCGCATGTACGTACCAGTGAATGCATGCACCGTGCAGGCGTGCGCACTCACTCGCACGGAGAGAACAGGAAACCTGGTGTGCTATGTTTACAGAATGATGCCTGTTTTCTGGCACAGTGACACCTGTCTAAGACGACCGCTCAAGGGACCTTCAAAACGTGGTCTTTGTAACCAGGTGGCCTCCTTATCCAGGGTTATTTGACTGAGAATAGCATCCCTTGGTTCTGGTTGTAGTGGTCCTCTTGGACAGGTGGTCGCCGTATCCGAGTGGTCGCCTTGACAGGTTTTACTGTACATGCACTGCTGTGCTTTGCAGGAGGCTAAGACCATTCTTGGAGATGCAGCTCCGGCTGGAGCTACACGCGCCGAGTCGGCCGCACTATCCACAGCACTGGATACTACTACATGTACTACGTCAGAGAAGCGAGAGCACACCGGTGATGTAAGTGTGCTATGTGCTCGCGCGGGCTGCTGCGCAATTGTTGTGCAATGCAAAACCGGCCGCATGCATCGGTGTTGATGCCAACCATGCGGGAAGTATTGTTGTCATTAAATTTGTTGATGGTATTGTAACTATTGGTGTGATTCATTTGTTGATAGTTTGTTCATGAGAACCCGAGAACATTACAACCATGGCATGAGCCTCACATGAACCACTCACTATGATCCCAACAAGTATGTCCTGTCCCCCCTGTCTCCTCCTCGTTGTCTGCAGGATGCTGGCAGTGACGCAAAACGGGTGAAGGAGTGAAGGAGTGAAAACAACGTGGATCGCTTGATTTGCTGAGATACCGAGGCAATGCTATTTGCCTCGAACTGATCAAATGGACATACTATTGTACCAGGAGAATGATCACTGAACTGACTGATTTGTTGAATTTCGTGCCACCCCTGACTAACTGTGATTAGAGTGTATCTGTGTTGTCTCTTCTAATGATTTGTGACCCCTAGGAAACCTATTTCTGGTCGAATTCCCTTTACCAAGCCCTGGTAATGAAGCTTTGGCTGACATCTGTTGGCTTCCGACTTTTCGGTGTTGGTATTGTGTTGTTTCGTGTGTTTGTACGTGTGCGTGGGTGCATGTGCATGTTGCATCTCAATGTGATAGGTACGACATGGTAGTTGCCTGGGGTAATTTCACCTGTTTTGTTTTAATCTCACTGGCGTCACATTATAGCGAAGGCCCAAGTGGGATTACCACATTATACTAGTAGTTTTTGAATTATTGCTTTGGATGACGGCATGGGCCGCGAGACACAGACGATTGAGTATCATCGGAGCGCCTTTCGGGCTCAGGTTGAAGTGATCATGAAGAGCATGTTAGATTGTTGCCAGTTTTGGTCTATTATTATTTTATTTTCCCTTCTGGGGTGGACTACTATAATTATTATGTACTACTGTCTAATGTCATGTTTGAAAAAGCAATAACGATATTTAAAACATTGATTTGTTTGACCGAAATACACTACGTGTGCATATCAGGTAATAATAATCAGGCCGAACCGGGCACGATACGGTGTGTGAATAATATCCTAGGGCCGGCTAGGCCGAGTAGTTGGGCGTTATGCGCTAGCGCGCTACGCTAGGCTACAAACGACTATTTTTACGTAGCTCAATATTTTTACTCCCAAATCTGTCAGGTGCATGCTACGGATACCGCGCGTGGGCACCAGATCTACTCTGTAGCTCTTCCTTTTACTTTTAGTTTTAGTTTAGTTTTTCTTCTCTTCTTCTTTTTATTTTGCTTTGCCGGTACAAGAGGCTTACTCTACTCTGTAGCTGTCCCCGGGGAAAATTGCGATTCCGCGGCCGCGTTTTTTCCGCGTTTTTTGCGATTTTTTAAAAGACCGCGTTTTCCGCGATTTTCCCGCGTTTTTTGAACTTTTTTGTTGCACTACACGTACACACAGTGCACTGTTCGGTCAGGAACATCGAACGTCTCATCGTGGCGGCTTTTTACTCAAAATATGACGAGTGCTTACACCAGAGACTTGTAACTGATTGATTTCATTACATACTCACTGAAAATTGCCGCACATCAATATTATTCACCGCATATTTACCGCATATTTACCGCAAATTCACCGCAAATTATGCCATGTTATGCCGCGTTTTTCCCCGCGTTTTTTGCGATTTTTTTCCGCAATTTTCCCCGGGGACAGATTATTATCCAGTAGATATCTACGCAGTGGCATACATAGCGCATGAATATGAGCCGTGCGGCCAAGCACTCCGCTCCAGTCCCGAGTTCCCCCGACCAAGGCAGTGTGACCTGGTGTAGTGGTGACTGCTTCACAGGCGATGCTGCTGCTGTATCTGCTGCTGCTACAGCCAGTAGTGGCAGTACTAGTGCTGGAGCATCACACATGAGAGTCATTATGGTAGTGTTGGTCTGCACTCGACACTCGACAGACTGTTTCTTGAGGTGGATGTGGATACTCTAGCTAGCTTGACTGAGTCTTTACCAGTGCTCACTGACTCGCTTCGGCGTCCGCTCGCTGTCCGATCGATAGTAGTCCTAGCGTTTTGCGTGTGGAGTTTGCAAAGTTGGATGCAGTCCCTTTTGTAGCTTAGAGTTGGCCCCTCTCTGCGGCGATACGAGTATGCTGCTCTGAGCACAAGTTGTAGTAACGACTACCCAGGTTGCTAGTGGCAGTCACTCACGATGCCATCCAGGGAGAAGCTGCGCGCTTTTGTCAACCATGTGCGCAATCTAACCCAGAAGGACGAGAACGGAGACGACGGCTTTGATCGCGAATACAAGGTGAGTTGTGCGTCCGTGTCATAATTTCAGGGCCGCGGTGTAGTTCATTTCGCAACGTCCAGCTGGCCACATGCAGTGATCGACTGTGGGATAGAAGCGCGACAAAGCCAGGAAGACTGGCTTTCCCGGGTTTCGTGTGCCGATTGTCTCCAACTGATCCCCCATGCTGCTGTCTAGTTATGGCTAAGTACAGCCTCCAATGCTCCATGACCCTTCCGCAGACCTGCGACCGACAACCTCCCTTTCCAACAACGAAGCATCCTGCCCTGCAGCTTGGAGCGCAACAGCTCCCCCCCACTTGCATGATGCTATTACCATGATTACTGAATGCTCCTCAGCTTTGGCATTGGCTTGTCACAAACTTACTGTACTGATGATAATAATTATAATTATTATTATATCGATACTCGATAGTAATCTGATATGATGAATAATTGAGTAATACTTGGAAATAGCATGTACGAGTACTAGTAAGTAGTAGTAGTAGTAGTAGTAGTAGTAGTAGTCTGGACCATAGGCATAGGAGGCTAAAAAGCAGTACAAAACTCGTCACTGTCATGTCGTTAGTTCAGAACTGTTTTCTGGGGGGTGTAAGCTAATGTTCTGTGCCTGTACTGTACACGCATGCCCCTGGCCTGAGAGCACAGCGACATGGACGTGTATGAACATACGCATTGGTTGCACACAAACACACATGTACACACGCACGCACACACACTTGTACGCGTAACAGAAGACACGGTTCTGTGCAAATTGGTCACAAGTTCCCACATTTCCCTGCCATCCAAAGGCCAAACGGTCCCTAAAATAGAAAAGCAGATCATTCTGATATGGGCAGCAGAGGATGACTTATGGTGAACGCAGTGGCCAATTAAATTATTTGGCATGGGAAGAGCCCAGTTTTTCGGAAATGATTGGCACTTGTACACATCTGTAATCTTTACAGCTGGGCTGCTGTCTATGTGTGGCACCAGTCCTACAACACATAGTCATTCTACTACGCAGCAGCAATGCCTACTACTGTGTCCATGGATTCAGTGTTACTGTTACTGTTACTGTTACTACAATACTAGCACAGGTGGTGGCCCGGATCACTGCCAGTTGTTGCAGTGCTGCTTTCATGACCATGTTGTGTGAGAGGGTCATGTAGAAGTAAGTTGTGCCTGTGCTGAATCAATTGTGTCAGTGTATCGCATCAAACACCTACCCAGTACAGGTGGGGAAACTCATGACTGGCTGAGACAGTGCTGCAGCCTGTCTGGCGAACACCAGTCGCCACAGCGCCGCTCCATCTGCACCACCACCTGAACTATAGCCCCTGCACCAGTAGTACTGCCTGGTGATCATGCATGTGTTGCCCCCCCCCCCCCTCCAGTGCAATAAATTATCCCAGTGATTCGGAATTCCAGACACATGGCTTATTAAAATTTGCCAAACGTACCGTTGAAATCATCACCAACTAATCAGCGGTCTATTGGACAACATACATGGCCATTGACAAATCACTGTTACTGCAGTGTGAGTTGATAATTCACCTGTATTCCACGCATGTGTCCGCATTGGTGGGCCGGCAGTGGTGTGGCCAGCCCTCGGCCTGAACACTTGGATAGGGCCACGGTCTAAAAAACGGAACTTGTCTCAGAACTCAGGAGAAGATCCGGAAGGTCGTCTGTGACTATATATAGGGTTGCCACATATTCCACATATTTCACGTTCAGGAAGATGATTACTTTTGCATAACGGTGTTCCTGTGGATTGAGCAGCGGAGGATTTACATGATTTCTGAGTGACAAGGGGAGTATTAAAAGCCGTAGTTCAATTTTAAATTAACCAAATAACTTGCCATGAATAATTGAACGAGGCGTTACTTATGGCTGGACTTGTATACTATCAAAGGTTCAGTAAAGGAGTCCACCTTTGCTGAACACCTTTGCTGAACACCTTTGCTGAACACCTTTGCTGAACCTTTGATAGTATGCACTAAAAGAAGACTACTGTAATTTCACAAATTTTCTTTTATTTTCGGTACTTTCGGTGCGTCTGTTTCACACCTACAAGTAAAATTTCAATACACCGAACAAACACTAACACACATAATCCAATAGGGAACTGCTTCTCTGTACCGAAAATTTATGTTCACCTAACCTAGCCTGTTGCCCTCATACCGAAAATATTGAGCACCGAAAGTTTCTGAAATTAGAGTACTTACAGAGATACAGCTCTATGCTGGATCAGATACACAGCATGAAGTACATTGCAATTCCTCATAGGAAGTTTAGAGAGTCATAATGAACAATGTAAACCTAGAGGGTACTCACTGTGACTATCACTGATGTGTACTGTTATCAGTGTCTTCCGTGTTTTCTGTTGAGCTTCATGATCAGCCTGCCTGGGGTAGGCTATTGTCCTTCCCACTTTTCACTTACAGGAGAAGTAGCATGCCGATTGTACACAGGTCATTTTAGCCAGTGGTATCCGTGGCAACGAGGTCACTGGTTTTGTCTCATATTAGAATGCATATCCTCCAGTGTGTTTGTCAATGTGTATGTTTGTGTGTGTGTGTGTATGTCTGTGTATGTGTGTGTGTGTGTGCATGTGCGCATGTGTGCGTGTGTGTGTGTGCGCGTGTGTGTGCGTGCGTGTGTGTGTGTTACGTGTTTGGGCTCGGTTACCATTGCTGTTCTGGTCTTCTTTGTCATTGTGTACACAGAGCATCAAAGACCTGCAGCTTCGCATCAAGGACAGTCCAGAGTATCCTGTCAAAGATGGCCGTCTGGAATGCAACAAGAAGAAGAATCGCTACAAGGACATTTTACCTTGTGAGTTTCTTCATTGAGATGGCCCTTTCATAGAATCATATACGCCCTTATATCTGTGGCCGATGGTAACGTATGTTTCCTCCCTCACTGGTCCTGGAAGGCTCAGTTAGCTAGACTGCCGCGGATACCTTGTGTTTCAGTTTGTTAGACTGCCGATACCTTGTGTTTTCTGTAGTCATACAGAACTACAGTAAAACCTGTCAAGGCGACCACTTGGATAAGGCAACCACCTGTCCATATAGACCACTGAAACCAAGACCAAGCCGGGATGCTATTTCCAGTCAAATGACCCTGGATAAGGAGACCCGGGGTGGTAACAGAGATCACATGTCACAGTGAAGGTCCATTGACCTTGAGCAGTCGTCTTAGACAGGTTTCACTGTACTAGTGGTATTCAGTGAGCAAAACTTCTCCATTCTTGCCTTGGGCATGGCTACTGATTACTAAGCTCACTGGTTGTTGATCCATTGTGTACAATTTTATTGTACTCATATTCCTTTGGCAATTGGTTCAAAAGTAGCAATGTTGGCAATGTCTTTCATGGTGTCAGTGCACTGCTGGCGTCATCGTCACCGCCGCCATGATTGTTTTGTCATTTACCGTGATTATTGCAACAGCGGTATTGCTGTGGTTGCTGCTGTTGATGCTGCTGATGTTGCTGCTCCTGCTCCTGCTGCTGTTGTTGCTGCAGTTGATTTCTGTCGGGTAGCGCTGACGCCCACGCACGAAGAGGGAAGCGACTACATCAATGCCAGCTTTCTCCAGGTAAGCCGGTTAGCCGCTACTCAGCATGACTACTTGTGCATGGCAGAGTCCCGATTAGGTAGTGTGGTGCATGGACATACATGGGTATGTGTATGAGTATACCAGTGTACACAGTATATTGTGTGGTACTCAGTGTACACGTTGTGACTCAGTGGATTCAACGATTGCAATTCACCCCTTTTTTCAGATATTTGCTTTTTCTTGTCATGCCTGGTCAGGATGTTAACGGAGATAATGGCTACATTGCCGCCATGGGACCTCTGACTGCCACAGTCAGTGACTATTGGAGGATGCTGTGGGAGTATGGAATCAAGGTATGTCAGGGCCGTCACACCAGGTCAGGCTCACGGGGCCCATGGTATACAGTCAGACCTCGCTTAACCGCACACATCCGTTTTCAACAAATTATCCGGATAGGCGAGGGAACCGGATAAATCGAACACACATACTGTATGTGTGCATGGCATATGCTGTAAATCGGTATCCAACGATTTTCTTCCGGATGGCGAGGGATCCGGATAAACGAGGTCTGACTGTAGCCACTTCTCATCCTTAATTGTCCTTGTGAAGTGTCTGCGCGTGTGCGTCTGCACGTGTGTGTCAGTGTGTGTGTGGGGGGGGGGGGGGGGGGGGCATGTGGGTGGATGGGTGTGTGGGTGTTTTTTTTGGGGGGGGGGGGTGTGCACATGTGTGTGTGTGCGATTGTGTCCCCGAAATGTGGTAAAGTGCTGACAGGCCTGGCCAGATAGCCGTGAGTGGTAAACATCATAGTTCATACACCTGACAAGTACTAGCAGTGAGTGACAACACCCACCTAACCATGCACATGCACATGCACACTAGCTGTGAACATCACACTGCGATACGCCTGGGATATTTCAAAACAGCACTTTCTAGTATTACCAGCGTTGGCATTGATTTAAGGCAAGGTTCGCAATAACTGGCACGGCAAGCAGTTGTTGGAAGGTTGTTGCACTGTTGCTGTGAAGGCCGCTATGAACTTCTCTCTACCCTTACACAGTCTGAGCACACCTCCGGCATGTGCGCGGACTCGCACCTTTGTTTCCCTTGAAACCTCTGTGCACTGGCGCTCCCTTCCTTTCCTTCATATGCGATGCCTCTTGCCAGCTTGCATTATTCACAGTAACCTGAAGCTAGCAGGGGATATTGCCTTTAGTTGTGCATTGTACCCTTAAAATAGTGTGTCCCTGTGCTAAGATGATCACAAAGTCTGTCAACACGATTTTTGCTATTGACCGTGGAGTGGTGTCAGCGCTGTTGACTGCTCAGTGCTGTACCGGGTTTTGAGTATGTCACCACCAATGTCCTTGTCTATTGCCTTGGGTGTGTTTGTGCAGACTGTTGTAATGGTATGCAAAGAAGTGGAGCTTGGCAAGGTAAGGCGAAGGTTTAAAGTGGAGCCTGGCTTGCGTCATGATTCTTGCTTGTGGACATCACATTGGCATGTCTTTCTTGTAAATGGTCCTGGGGAGCTGTACGCAAAGCTAAGTAGTAGTGTGCTAGTGAGGGAACCGTATTCGTTCCCGGCACTAGGGCAAGGAGGTGTTAGAGACTTTTTGTTTAGGTAAGCTCACCATAGTTAGTAACTACCCGGCATTATTTAGGGCCGCAGTGTTCAAGCACTCACCTGAACCGCCCTTTCCTGCCCAACCCGCAACGCCAAGCTCCTAGTCTTGATTCTTGACCTGTAGCTGAGTGTACAGTGTTCAGGTTTGCATCTGCTGCCAACCTGAGGTGTTTTGCGGAGATGCGTCCTTTCTGTACTTGTGCTGCACCCGGGACTCGATGATGCCATCGCCAATCTTTCAGTTGCAGCTGCACTTGACGGTACTAGGTGCTACAAGTTTCACACATACAGTTGGTCTGCTCCGTGTGTGTGTGTCTCTGTGCTTGCAGAAAAAGTGTGCCAAGTACTGGGCGGATGCAGCCGAGCCTGTTGTCGTTCATGCTGGTGTGACAATCAGAATGGTTAGCCACATTGTATTGCTCAGTGCATACACATAGCCGTTTAGTCTGGTCGTCAATCTACCATACAATGTAGCTCATCTGTGCTTTTGGGCCTCTCTCTCTCTCTCTCTCTCTCTCTCTCTCTCTCTCTTCTCTCTCTCTCTCTCTCTCTCTCTCTCTCTCTCTCTCTCTCTCTCTCTCTCTCTCTCTCTCTCTCTCTCTCTCTCTCTCTCTCTCTCTCTCTCTCTCTCTCTCTCTCTCTCTCTCTCTCTCTTTCTCTCTCTCTCTCTCTCTCTCTCTCTCTCTCTCTCTCTCTCTCTCTCTCTCTCTCTCTCTCTCTCTCTCTCTCTCTCTCTCTCTCTCTCTCTCTCTGCCACAGTACTCTTTACAGGTGTTCTCACCTCAAAACCAACTTCCCTAATGGTTGATGTGTAGGCAGCTCATATTACGCACATGTTAACGTTACATGTATCTCTCCAGGGCTTCTCCAGGAATATTCTTCCCAAGTTCTAGGGTCATTGATTTACTGCTTCTAGTTGAAACGGCCTTAGTACAGACACATTGATCAATGTGCTTCCATTTGTTTATGACTTATTGTTATCACCGCTGTCACTGATATTTGTCTTGTTGCTCAGTCTTGCCGTGGCTGTTGATGATCTGGGTTTTGTTCTTGTGATTCTTCCTTTCAGGTGGACGAGAGCCAGGCTGATGAGATATCAATTCGCATTCTGGATGCTGAATATCAGGGGGTGAGCTGCGCCTAGAATCGGATTTCTGTGCACAGATGTTCTGCTGTGGTTCATATTGTTGACTTGGATGCCAACACTTTGGAGTTATCAAAACTCTACCTGTGCTGTGTTAGTCTGGTCTGCTTGCAGAAGAGCCTACAGCTTGCTAGTAGCTCCATGCCTGTATTTTCTTTGCGTACTGTCGTCCTCATCTAGGAGCACCGTCGTATCTTTCAGTATCATTTCCAGAGCTGGCCCGATCATGGTGTGCCGGACTCTGCACAGCCCATCGTCGATCTCATCCAGATATTTAGAAAAGAGCAGCCGACCAACTGTCCACCCATCTTAGTACACTGCAGGTGAGACAGTGGGTTGGGTTGAGTCCACTGCAGCAGCTTGTTCAATGTGCTTGTAACTGCTATGCGCATGTAACAGCGCTGCAGTTTGCAGCGTGGCATATTGTCTTTGTGCTGTCGTACATAACGGATATTGTACATTGATGGTTTAGCGTGTACGTTCACGGAAGATTGTCAAGCTTCTGCATGGTCAGTAGAATCTGATGGTCATGGCCGTGTCGCTTTGCTGGCAGTTTCCCCTTTCTTTACTTTCCTCATGCTTTTCGGATAGACATAACACATTGTTGCTGTTGTTGTTCCTGCTACTCCGGCATGATGTCTTTGGTAACCTGTGTGTGCAGTGCTGGCTGTGGACGGACAGGTACCGTTTGTGCAGTGGACTATGCATGGCAACTACTGGAATCACAGGTAGGTGTATTTTTCATCCCCTCCCCCTATACACCACACACCACACACCCCTATACACCACACACCCCTATACACCACACACCCCTATACACCACACACCCCCTATACACCACACACCCCTATACACCACACACCCCTATACACCACACACCCCCTATACACCACACACCCCTATACACCACACACCCCTATACACCACACACCCTATACACCACACACCACACACCCCTATACACCACACACCCCTATACACCACACACCCCTATACACCACACACCCCCTATACACCACACACCCCGCTATACACCACACACCCCTATACACCACACACCCCGTTCTACCCCATACACCACACACCCCCCTATACACCACACACCCCCCTATACACCACCCCCCCCCCCCCCCCTATACACCACACACCCCCCTATACACCACACACACCCCCCTATACACCACACACCCCCTATACACCACACACCCCCCTATACACCACACACCCCCTATACACCACACACCCCCCTATACACCACACACCCCCCTATACACCACACACCCCCCTATACACCACACACCCCCCTATACACCACACACACCCCTATACACCACACACCCCCCTATACACCACACACCCCCCTATACACCACACACACCCCTGCACACCACACCCCCCCTATACACCACACACCCCCCTATACACCACACACCCCCCTATACACCACACACCCCGCTCTACCCTATACACCACACACACCCCTATACACCACACACCCCCCTATACACCACACACCTCGCTCTACCCTATACACCACACACCCCGCTCTACCCTATGGATCGGTGATGATCTATCCCTGTGCAGAAGTAGACATACGTTAGGCGTATTCACGGCGAGAGAGGGAACTGTGAATTATTACGCCAAGGAGGTATGTGTGGCACAGCCAAGTACAGCGTACAGTGTATGTCATATCACTGCTGAGAGTGTGTGATGTTGGTCATTTGTGTGCAGATTAGTCCCTACAATGTGGACTTCTCCGATTCAGCATGGTTACCATACAAAGAATCCAACGAAGACGTAAATTCAGTCTCCATCAGTGTCTGTAGACCTGCTTGTATGGGTGCTTGTTATTATACAATCAGTACCTGGCTAGCGGTCCTTATATGTACTAGCTATTGTGTCAATTTATAGAAAAGAAAACTGAGGACCAAGGAACTACAAGTTATGCTAAAATGTCCACTAACACCACCAGCAGCTACTAAATAATCAGCCCAAGCGATAACATAATAACTTAGAACCTTCTAAGTTGGAAGGTTGTTGGAGTGCGCACCCAAGATGTGCTAGAGCTCATAGCCAGTTAGTTGTAGAACGTACCGTCAGTCAGTGTTGTGCAATGTTATCGCATGAGCTTATTGTTTAGTAGCTGCTGATGGTGTTAGTGGACATTATACCGTAACTTGTAGTTCCTTGGTCCTTTTTTCTTTTCTATAAATTTATCCTTTGCTCTCCATCTTGACTCCATTATTGTGTCAATACGTGTTGTTGTTGATGTGTGTGTGTGTGTGTGTGTGTGTTTGTTTCAGATCGACAGTGATGTAAGCGTCCTAGACATTGTGACCTTGTTCAGACATCAGCGCCTGTCCATGGTGCAGACCAAGGTTAGCGGCGAGAGTCCCTCCCAACCTTAATAGCCCTGTGGACATCAGTCTTTGTTGCTTAGCTCAATGTAGTACCGCGGCGTTCCCGGCGCGTGGTCGCACCAGTGCACTGCGCGTTGCACATACATTAGTGCACGTAACGTACATGCGAGTGCACACATACCCGCAATGTCACGCTGGAGTGGTATTGTAAGAAGAGAGAAGAGATTACACAAAAGGTTATGGTACCCCGCCTCGTGACCAACCAGGATCATCCTGTGCCATTTTCATAGGGTATATTTTATCCGGGAGCAATACTGAGTTGTCTCTGTCATGAACACATGTGCAGTGCGTATCATCGGCACAGCCTCCAATGATCACACTGCACGCATGCATGGGATAGATATGCATAAGGACGACTGTTTCCAACATAGGCGTGCACCCACCTCCTTTCCCAAAAGAAAATGTCTTCCCGGTTGGAGTTTGTGCTTAACTTGTGTACATACATGTATGATCACTCGAAAAGAGACAATGCTATGAGACAAACTGGGCATGAAACTAGAAAAATCACAGAATAAAAATATGTCTCCTATAGAGAAAGGAAAAGGACATGCATGGATACGAGGCATGGCGGTTATGCGATTACATCATCAGTTGAGATGCTTTGGTCGGAAGTCGTGGCAGTCGGCACAGCTCTGCACTAGCGACTCACGCTGCATACATAGCGCCCATAAGCGGTTCCGCTGACCCACCACCATGAAATCATTCGTATGACCTCTATTATAATCCCGCTCTTCAAGTGGAGGAGGTTCAAGAATTGAAATATGTATGCGTACCGTGTTATCTCATGATTACAAGCTCAGTCACTTGTAGAAGCCCAGTCTCTCTTACAAGCGCACTCCGGGAGGGCTTCCAAGATACACAAGCGCAGTCTCCAATATAAGCGCAGGGCTTAGAATGGAGAACTGTATGGATCATGTCCATGCATGTTTGACATCACAAAGTGTCACATACCCACATATTGTTGCACAAGTCTGTGACCCGGAGGTAAAAAGAACAAACTCAGTGTACCAGTGTTATGTCTTCGCCCTGCTGGCTGCCAGACTAACAATACACTCGAAGTTACAGAGCACACAGTAGTTATCAGTTCCAATATCTATTATCCGGAAAGACGTCCATCATCCACGTCCATCATACTAGTACCCTCCTTCAACGCATGAGCGTTTTATACATAATTATTATGATAAGAGAATATGACGTCAGAGACATAACAACCAGGCAGTACAAAACTGCATTCACGATACCTGGTGGGAAGCTTTGTGCTACTGGTGTAATATAAAATGATGACCAATGTACAGGTAACAGATGGTTTAAATAGTATAAGCCCAGTCTTTAGTACAGTAGAAGCCCAGTCTCTAATATAAGCCCAGGGTCTGGAGTGGTTGAAACAATATAAGCCCAGAGCTTATACTGGAGATAATACGGTATATTAATGGAGAAAGCACAGATACTGCACTCACCAGTAAGTTCTTACTAACTGCTGTGTTCTGTATACCGTACTAGTATACTGAGTGATACATGCTTCTTGTGCAATGTACATGACCTAAACCTACATGGTATGTATGTGTTGATCTTTTCTTCCTCCAGGATCAGTACGTTCTGATTTACAAAGCCGTACTCAAATTAGTAAAAACCTATCTAGCATCAAAGTCCAAGGCAAGTGTCGTGGAGCAGCAACCGGCGGCACCTGCGCTACCCACGCCACCGCCGGAAGACCTCTATCAGAATGTTACGGTGGCGGGTGGGACGGTAAGCACTCTCCTGAGCTCGTTACTTTGTTTTTGTACGCTTGCTGCAAGAGTTTGGGCATCCGTCTCCCCCTCCAGCCAGACCGATAGCGGGACCTTGGGTGGGTATTTGATAATTGCCCATGGAAATGGAGTGTGACGGTCGGTGTCTGATGAATGCTACACCTGGCTGTGGGGAGAACTGACGTTGCTCCTGCCGACCAACAGAATATCTATTTTGCCGTCCAGATTTCACCCACCCAAGTCACATCGGCGAACGGCCCATCAAACAAAACACGATGTTGATTTTAAAATGCTTTCCTTCTATGGCGTTTTGTCTTTCAGGCGTACGGGCAACAAGCGCTAAGCCTTGAGCCAAAGAAGGAAGGTGCACCGCCGATACCGCCAACAAAGAGGTCCGTATCGACCAGCCCAACGTCTGCTAGTCCCGTAACCAACATTGATGATGCTGGAGGAATGACACAGGAGGAGCAGGAAGAGGAGCTCCGACTTCTGCAGGAGATGACGGCTTCGGCCAAGGTGAGTTTTCACAGCATTTGCCTGGCTTGAACGACAACAGTGCATGCTTAGACAGTTAGAATGCAAACGTTAACTGTCAGCGCTGACCACCATTGTACAATAGTAACAATACTAGGTTTTGTGATTTTCACTCCAGCTAACTGTGACATACCTACAAGTATCCCAATATTCCTGTCGGGATTATCCCGCATTTTTGGATGAACTTCCGCGATCCCAATAATCCTGTCGATTATCCGGAAAGTTTCTGTACAAGAAGCAAGTGTTGACATTGTGCTTGGAGTACTTCAAGTGACTTGTCTAGTTGTCCTCATTGACTCTGTGCCACCACAGCTGTAGTAAGTTACCAGTGGATCTACTAGTACTCCTTCCATGAACAGTCCCTGAATAACCTCTTTGGAGTCTTGAACATGTGTAAAATGTGATGTGTATCATCATCATCATCATCATCTACATGTACAAGTACAATTGTAATCGATAATGTCACAAAGTGTTGGTGTCATCATTGAAAACAATAATTATTGAAAAAAGAAATTTTGGAAAAATATGGCATACCCCAAAAAACCAAGGCTGATCCCGGGATTTTGCCGTGGCGATCCAGAAAAAGCACTCTCAGTACTTGGCAGGAATGCTGTGACTGTCTTTGATATTTCTCATGCACAGCACCAAGCCAGTTTTCTTCAGAGCTTTGACGATGAGGAAGAGGACGAGGACGGCCCGCCGCCGCCGATTCCAGTGCATACCGAGGCCGCATCCCAGTTTGAGGAGGCTGCCAGCAACTCGCACGGCCTAGGCGTGGACGAGCGGTTTGCTGGAACTTCACCAGACATGTATGCTGTTGTCTCTCCCACACCGGTGAGTACTGCCACTGTGCGCAGCAGGCAACGCCGCACTCTAGTCTTATGCAATCGGAAAACTGTTTTTAAGTTGAGAACATGGGAAACAGCGGGCACAAGTTATGCGTTAGAGTCCATCAACTAGAAAAGATTTTGAACAGCCACACATTTTTAGAACCAGACTGACAAGGAGTACTGACACAGCACGGAACATATTTTCTTTTCTTTCTTTCTGATACAAATCTGATACAGCCTGGCAGGGGTGACTGCAGTAGCAGCTGTGCTGGTGACACTGGAGTATTGTCATGTGCAGTTGTTTCCCGGTGCAGAGTGGTCCAGGCAACAACACTCCTTTGTAGCGGCGCCATGGGCTGGGGTGGATTGAAACCGGGGCTGACAAAGCCAGGTGCCTCGAGTTCGCAAGAGTAATAGTAGTACTAGCATGGCCGATTGACAAGAATCAGCAACAGTACTGAAGATCTGTGTACATGTAGATTGCAGCAAGGGGAAGAGTTGCACAAGCCAGTCACCATGGTCACGCCACACACTGGCATCGTCTGGCATGTGGTCATGCAAGAGTTGCACCAACCACTGAAATTCATTTACGGATGCCCATGGCATAGGCACGGGCTCAGCATGTTATACCGTGCGCATACAGTCATCTGTAGCTCATTTTCTCTCCATAACCAAGCGTTTGTCGGACGGGGGTTGGCCGATGATGTTAGCGGGTTCTGGGAACAAATGATACTGTGCATCTGAGGATGGAATTGCAATGGTTCTGGGTAATAGTTCGAGGATGACAGAGCAGTGGCTCAGCTGAGTCAGCACCTCAGACGAAAGTAGAGGAGGCTCTGTGCTGGTTTTCTGTTTACTGCTTTTGAGGAATAGTGTATGGCCTAGTAGTACTACTAACTAATACCACTACAAGTACTTGTGTGGTTGTTGGATTTATTTGAACTAGTGACCATGGTGACCATAGTGACCATCGTGACTGATGGTGCAATGCAATGATTATGTAGCACTAGTGCTGCACTACACAGACAGGCTGGCCAAAATGAATGATAGTTGTAAAACTTAGGCCACACTTTGTTTTTTCTATCGCCCGCGTAGGTTTTCAGAAATTTCGGAAGAAAAAAAAAGTTCCTACTACGTACATGTGTACATGTATGTACGCTGCACATGCTGCAGCAGCTACGTCAATCAATAATCGTAAACGTTTGCACCACAGCAGCAAAGGAGCGCTCCTCGTCCGTTCTCTGCGATGAAGGCTGTCATGACGAAGCTTTCAGTCGTTCCCTGCCTGAGCCTCGTGGGTCCCAGGAATACCATAAGTCGGACGAGTTCCGCGGCAACTGGCGTCTGTGGAACGATGTCGTAGGCAGAAAATCCAAGCAATAGACGCATGGCAAGGAAAAGATGAGCAGCATGGAGACAAGAGTTTGATAAGTGGAGACAAGAGTTTGATAAGCGGACACAAGAACGTTGAAGTAACAAAACCAATAATTAATGACGAGTGGGAAACGTTTGTTGATGCGATAGCAGATAAATGTATGTTCTCTTCGCCATCTCGTAATCAAACTTTATGCTCTCAAATGTAGTGCAATCATGTATGGGACTACATGTACATGATTGTACAATGTAGTACTGTATACATGGTATCAAGAGTACGTACTCTTGATGGTATACGCAGTGTCTTGTATGAATCACGCATATACATGTCATGTACATTGTAAAAGGTATATACAGTAGTTTTCAGTAGAAATTGTTCTTGTTTTTTTTTCCTTGGCTTTTGTTTTTTTTCCGCCCGCCCGCGTACCTTTTGTTAAAACTTGCCGACGAGAAACATAGAAAAAACAAAGTGCGGCCTTACTATAAAAAGTAAAACTGAAGTCAGGTGAACTCTGGTTGGTGGACTTGCAGATGCAGCTGCAGCGCAGGTGACCAACGATCATGTTTTACTCACACTCTGTGTTGTCTAGTACTATTGTTGAGTGTGGTGTTGAGTGTTGTCCTGGCCAGTGCTGGGCCTGCTGGGCGTGTGCCTACCAAGAAGCAAGTGCATCCCCCCTGCTGCTTGCAAAGTAGGCTGATAGAAGTGATTGTTTCGGCCATGACAACGACGTAGTCGGGCAGCTGACGAGACCAACGACGTGAAATCACCGTGCATAGCCTGTGTGAGTGTCACGGTGTGTAGTGCGTCGACACCTGTACCTGCACTGCAGCGCACTACTGCCAGTACTAGCATCTGCACCACGCCACGATGCAGTCCAGCGTGGCCATATGGCCATAATCACTGACATCACTAGGTCTACAGCCTACACACGCGACAGATTACAGTAGGCTGAGTACAGTGAGTAGGTACTAGGTAGAGTCTACTGCATGCACTTGTGTTGGTGGTGCTATCCTGCTGTGTGAGTGTGCCCTGATCTGAGTGTAGGCTGTTGTCGTCAACTAGACTGCGTGTTGCCCTATTAATGACTATTGTTACAGTATTATCATGATTATTATGTACAGTAGTCGTGTAGCTTCCCTCCGTCACACTTGCCATTGCAAGTCTGTGCTGGGCCTATGTTTGGAATCGGAGGGAGTAGGTGACATTAATAATATAACCAGGCTTTGACTTCGTGATATTCACTGAGCTCTGTTGAGCAGCGACGTGAGAGTGCACCGAGAAGGACGTGTGGTCTTTTGACGATGTCGTCGAACTCTTTGCACTCTTTTCGTAGGAAAGCTAAACGTGACACCTCTTCCTCAGTCCATGCTCGGCTCTCGGTGGATTTCCGCCGCTAGCTTCTTGCTGCTACTCTTAGTACCGGCACATGTAGTATTCAGGCTGGACCGACTTATCAGCGGGCACTGCAGGCTAGTAGTAACATTCGCCTGAAGGAATATTGAAAGTTGCTTTCAGAAATAATTTTTTGGGAGGTGTCTACACGACACAACATCGTGCAGCAGGAGCAATGTTAAATTATGGTGACAATCTACTGGTGGATATCGGCGAAGACGATCTGATGACGGAGAGCAGAAATGGACCAACGACAACTGCAATGCCAACGACGGACTCGACAACAACGTCTACCACCACCACAAGCACAATTACGGCAAGAAAGAACAGCAAAGGACAACTGACAGAATGGCGAGGGGAAGTCTTTCTTAGCGACGGCAGACAGGCAGAAGCGGCTCTGTCGAGGAAAAAATCGATGGTTGACGGCCTTTCGGAAACAGTATCAAGGTTTTTGGGAGCGTCAAATGGCCACAACCAATCCAATCCGTCGGTGCGTATTTATTTCTTCTCTCTCCCTATCTCCACCTCTCTTGTCTTGCTTCTGCGCCTTGCTAGTTACTACCCGCTGCAGCGAGCTGCAGCTAACTCCCCTGGCCCACTCCCGATGCATTTTAGCTTTGATCGCTAGTACTCGATCGGCTGTCGCTAACTGATAACATCAGTTTGAGGAAATAGTGTCGTGTCGTTCAGTAGCTCGACGACGCAGTGACATGACGGGAATTTCGAACCCAGGCGTAAACCTGGTGTACGTTTCTTCCTGTTCTCTATCTATGGAGTATGGTGGTCGTATCACTATCAGTGTCGTGGTCCGCGTGTGTCCACTCGAGACGAGAGCGCTAGTATTTAGAACATGCATGTTATGTGCCTATTTTCTGAGAGGCGCTTGAAAAACGCTTAGTAATTATTATTTGCCTGGTCCACCTAATCTTCCTTTAGCGATTCGTGTACGAGCAGTGCATCGGACGTAGCGATCTGCTCCGCTGAAGGCTAGCCAGTGAAGGTCCTCTTGAGTCTTGCTGGCGCGACGTGTACTTGGAGCTGTGTGTGTCAGGTAAAAACTGACAACCAAGCTAGGTCAACAACGGTGCAGGAAGTAAATTATTAGTTCTGAAACCACATGCCACATGGGCATTGTGCACATGTGCGGAAGGAAACCCGTAATTGGGAGAGATCAATCTTTTGTTTTATAATATTCTGTAATTGTGTTAGGACGCATGGTCCATGCATGGCATGGGGTGCTCTCTGCACAGTAAATGACTGTACGCACTGCACTGAGCACACAAACCTTTGCACATGATCCGTTATAATAATTATGCTGATTAGAAATTCACTCACTTGTAACTATGACAGCTGCATCCCCAAACTAATAATAATTATTATATTGCTAGTGATTTTCTGGTTGAAGAAGTAGATGTGGAGAGCTGCCATGCTGCCCTTTCAGTTTTTTCATATTTCATGCCAGTGCTTCCTTGTGTGTGTGTGTGTGGTGTGTGTGTGTGTGTGTGCACGTGGCGTGCATGGTGTACATGCCGCACTGTGTGACGGTCTTGCAGTCTGGGAGATCATCACGGGCTGACCTGCACGCCGACCTTGAGAGCGGTGACGCACCACCGATGCTACCTCGACGCACGTCCGACTCGTACATCTTGACGGAAGAGCAGAGGAGTAAGTTGTTCAACTAACTTTTCGGGTATTGACAACAAGAGAGCTGCCTGCTCAGAACCCTCACTATGCTTTTTCTTTACCTAGGTCATCATAATAATTAGGGCTGAAACGATCATCCATTTAGCCCAATCGATTACTCTTTTAATATCATAACGATCGATTATTCGATTATCTTTAAGAAGCCGCACCTGGAATATGTACGTGGAATGGCCAAAAGTGGAAATATGTACAAAATTGTGCACAAAAATGCTATGTGGCATGATTGTCCACTAATGGGCAGCGTTACAGACAACTAGCCAACAATGGCCGAGAGTGATGCGGAATGTTCGTTAAACTGCCAAGACATGTGTACAGTGCATTTCAAAACTATAGACGCGTAGGCTTTTTGAAATATTTCAAATTTGGCTGGAACTTTTTGAGAAACGTTTTCGGTATATTGCTCAGGATCGCTCCACAATTACTCTCATATAGTTTCTAAAGGATTGGATAACAGACGCCCAATTTGGAAAAATTTATGCACAAAGTGATCACAGATTTTATGTGGTATAGATGCTGGCATAACGGTTTTTGCCTCGGTACGCGTCTATAGTTTTGAAATGGACTGTAGTACTGTGTACTACCGTACTGGCAATATATATATGTTGCCGCGTAACGCGTAACGCAGGGGGTGCGGCGTAATGCGCGACCAGGCTAGTGCGACAAATTTTCGTTGCGTTCATAACGCGCGTCCGGCGGGGTGCTGCGATCTTTTCATTGCAGTTTGCACTGCAAAGGCTGAAAACTGTGAAAGCACGTGTACCGCGTGGCAAAAAAAAAGGACTGCGGCAATATAGAAACCTGTGTAACGGCTCCTGTGCGACTTTGCATGTAACGCCCTGCGTGCGGTAAACATGTGCCAATGTAACGCTTCATGGCCTCACTGCGACCATATATATTGCCAGTACGGTATACTCTGCGCTGCATGCACTGCGCGTATAAGAAATTAAAAATTTAAAAAACGGAAAATAATCGTAATCGGTAATCTAAACGATTGCTCGATCGTTAGAGTTATCAAACGAGTACTCGATTATTCGGTATAATCGTTTCAGCCCTAATAATAATATTATACACCACTCGTAATGACAGCAGGCTATTATATAGCTGAGCTGGTGATCAGTTACGTGGCATGTATGATCACCCACTGGTAACTCTCTTGTTGTACAATTATAGGAAACTTGAGCTTCTGCGCTCCTGATACGTGACCTGCACCTCTTGTCCTCGTCCGTTATTGTGATCACTGATCAGTCATGTACAATGCTGGGCCGCCATCGATCCAATCACCTGGTACATGCAGCCGCTTGCCACCCGCTGCGCCACCGCTCCTGCTGTATTACCGGCAACTGTTTGTCGCTCTTGTGATCAGCCTCCGTCGCTACGTAAATGCCATTTCCATAGCTTTGGGAATAAATGTACTTGTACATGCAAGCCCGCCTACATGTATACCGTATTTTCCGGAGTATAAGCTGCACCCAGATTTTTGTCACAAAATACAGACATCTACCCTATTTCACGGTGCATTTGACCATCGTAGTGTATGCCACACCGACTTTTTTTTAAATTTGTTTGTGTGAATTACGAGTGTGTTAAAAATGCGGCTTATACTCCGGAAAATACAGTAAGTGGGCGCTCTCTCTCTATGACTGTGACACCAAACCTTTCCTGAATTGCAAAAAAAGGTGCGGAGAAATTCAATAAAGTGGAATATGCCGCCACATATGCGCATATTTAGGATCCGATGTCCATTCCTATCGATCTCTACTTCTCTACTCCGCTGAAGAGCTCTAAGAAGGTCGAAACAGCTAGCTGTCCCAGTATTTTAATATTTGGACAGCTAGCTGTTCCACCGGCGTCAAATGCGATCACTACTTGGAATACGATACTCTGGCACAATCTCAAACGACGACATATACCGCAGAACCAAGAGCAACCCTATATCAGACACAGTTGCATGTAGGCGACTACGAATGACCGGTCATGTGCTACGGATGGACACGGACACGCCACCGCAAGAAGCCATGAGCGGCTATTTTGACAAGGGCAACAAAGCACCTCGTGGGCGGCCAAGGTTGACACTGGCCACAAGTCTTGTCGCTCAGCTGAATAAGCTGGGTGTGCCCATGAAGACCATGGAAGACCTTTCCAGGTGCCGACAACAAGCAGCGGACAAGACAGACTGGAAGAAACTGTGCAGCTCGACACCCGAGGAGAAATCCGTATCAGCGGCTGGGAAACAGAAAAGGCGGGGATCGGCATAGGTTCCGCGGCGGGCAGTTCGGCAGCGAGGATTGCCTGGTGATGGAGCACGGCCTGGAGTGCCCCGTCTGTTGTCTGCGGGTTTAGCTCCCGAACGCGGACCCGCATGCCCCGTGAGTCAAGCCCGGAGATAAACTGGTCTTTTGTTAGGCTGTCGAGGTCCCCGCGGCCATCTGGGGGTATGCTTGCCGGGCCAGGGAGCGAACCGCCTCACAGAAAGTCCCCAGTTGTTCGTCTTTGGCCTGGTGACGAGCTTGAAAGGTTGCGCGATGGAGGTCGACGCGCTGGGCTGGATCAAACCGTGCTTGCACCGCCTGGACTAGTTGTTGGTGGCCTCCATTCCTGGTGGCCGCTGGGAGAGACTGATAATACAGCTGGGCCTCGCCTTCTAGTGCGAGGCCCAGGAACTGCGTCTGCTGAACGGGGGTCCAGTTATTTACCGCGGCGACCTGGTCAAAATGTTTGAGCCAGGAAGCGAAGTTGTCTTCCAGGCGACCCTTTTACTTTTCGGGCTGGACATGGTATGCCCCTCTCAGTGGTTGGGCAGGAGCAGGCGGAGCTGGTGCTGCGGCGGGCGCGGCGGCGGATGCCCCGGCAGGTAAATTAGGTTGAGCCATCGGAGAAACGTGTAAAGTAACAACGTTAGTTAGAGTGAAACAAAATGAACTTACCGCTGCCACCAATTATGTAGCGGGCCGCAGTCTCTTGGAGGCAAATGCAGACGGGTCTCAGTGAACACACTGTTGTTTATTATTACTGAACTAAAGACTGGACAGCGCGTGTTACAGTGTTCAGCCACGGCGAGCCTGTGTGGTCGACTGGGCCGACCCAGGACAACTCTCCTCTCGGCTCTTTCTCAGGACTGCCTAGCCCGACTCGGCATTCGCCTGGGCACGCTTAGAGGCCTTAATCAGTTGCGGCAGTTGGCAGGGGATAAGTCACGGTGGAATGGCACCCCGCGGCACTCATCTTCATCTGCCGAGCCGCGTTCTCGACTTATCCACTGCAGGGTGAACATTACGAACAAGCTACCTTCTTTCTGACATTGCCACTCCAACTTGACAATAGACGCAGCTTTCCGTGTGTGCAGTTCCATTGAGCCATGGTGGGTTTTTTTGTTTTTTTGTGAATCCTTCCCGGAAACAAATGCTGGTTTTTATACATTCGTGTTATTGCTCAGCGTTATTTGCAATAATAATAATAAAGACTGGATTGAAGGTTGAACTCTAACTCTAAACTGACATGAAGAGAATTGTGAACAGCAGCTTTTATAGGGTGTGGAACTGTTAGTGTAAGTAAGCTAGCCTATGACCAGGGGATACGTAGAGTAGAAGAAGAAAGGTCAAAGTAAGATGTGTGGGCCACAGTCATTGCACAAGGAATGCCATTTGATTATATGCAGAAGAAGGAGCTGAATAGCGGTGTGGGCAATGGGCGTAAAAGAGGTACCGGGAAGACAGCCATTAGGAATTCTAAGGAAGCTTCATTAGAATGTGTGTAGATAAATGAAAAGGAGGTTGAAAGTGAAATGTATCAAAAAGGTCTACAGGGTACATGTGCTAGTATTCCTCAGGTCATCCTAGTGTGTGGGAACAATACATGAACACAGTGAGACTAGTTACTATGCACGTCTGAAGAAAATGTTGAACGGCCTCTGCTGGGATGACGACTACATCATAGCTCAGTGGTTAGAGCATCGCTGGCTACAAGCAAAGGTCCCTGGTTCGAGTCCTGGTGGTGACAGTCAATTTTTTCTTCAGACTTTTCCCGTTTGTCTCTTTCCCTCAAACCAGTTAATATTTTATGACTTGGGGCTCCCCGCGTGTTAGTTTGTAAGTGAAGTGTGTGGGTTACAGTGAGGGCTGCGTCTCACCCGCCTGTGTGGATTCACAGGAAGTGTGAGTTACGAAGTCTGAAGAAAATGTTGAATGGCCTCTGCTGGGATGATCTGTCCCCGGGGAAAATTGCGGAAAAAAATCGCAAAAAAACGCGGGGGAAACGCGGCATAATATGGCATAATTTGCGGTGAATTTGCGGTAAATATGCGGTAAATATGCGGTAAATATGCGGTAAATATGCGGTGAATAATATTGAGGTGCGGCAATTTTCAGTGAGTATGTAGTGAAATCAATCAGTTACAAGTCTCTGGTGTAAGCACTCGTCATATTTGAGTAAAAAGCCGCCACGATGAGACGTTGCTGACCGAACAGTGCACTGTGTGTACGTGTAGTGCAACAAAAAAGTTCAAAAAACGCGGGGAAAATCGCGGAAAACGCGGTCTTTTAAAAAATCGCAAAAAACGCGGAAAAAAACGCGGCCGCGGAATCGCAATTTTCCCCGGGGACAGGATGATACACCATAGCTCAGTGGTTGGAGCATCGCTGGCTACAAGCGAAGGTCTCTGGTCCGAGTCCTGGTGGTGACAGTCAATTTTTTCTTCAGACTTTTCCCGTTTGTCTCTTTCCCTCAAACCAGTTAATATTATTATGTCTCCTTTATTCACTTCTTTCGAAGGCGATAAGCCAGACCCACCGGGAAATATTTCCATGGGTGGGACAGCAAAACAAGTGAAAAAATAAAAAGCTAAAAACCGAAGGGACAAGAAATAGGGGAAGGAAGAGGAAGAAAGAAAAGAAACTCAATCCGAACTCCAACATCAAAACAATAATAAAGAATTTGCAGCGACAGGTATTGTACAAATGATAAGGACGATGATGTTGTTATGGGGATTATTATTATTATTATTATTAGTCTCAGCGGACAGCCTACAGTCTCGGCGTTGTACGTACTTTCTGTCTGCTAGGGTTTGGTCTCTCAATATACTGAGCAGGTTTTCTCCCATTTCCATTCGCCCAGGCTTTGCACGTCTGTTTATGTACATGCCCATTTTCTTTGGTCAGGTTGCTTGCACAAACATGATTCTACCTGTTGCTATTTCTGCCTGAATCTTCTCCTATTTTGCTACATGTAGGAGAGGCTGCCAATGAGGCCGCGGCAGTGGCTGCGGTCCAGCCTCGCGTTCCCCCCTCACCTCGACCCAACCAGGGCTTGACGCCGCCAAACCTCCCGGCGCCGCGTCCACTATCGACTAGCAATACCGATGTAGCAAGTATGTCGTCTGCAGGGCCAGGAAGATCAGCTACTCCTACCGGAGGTATGAACTATCAGCGTGTGTTGTACCTCAAAGTATGACCTTTCTCTCCACCTCTCTCTCCACCTACCTCTCCTACCAACTTACTAAATATTCTGTGCTCGTACTGAAGACAGGAAGAAGACTACATGGTAGGGGTGAAACGAGTGCCAAAGTCGAGGACTCGAGTACTCGTTGGAAAAACGAGCGAGTATTCGAGCGAGTACGAGTATTTTACTGACAACATAAACAATGCACTGCACATATTCTCGCCACACCGGACGTAGTACACCCGATACATGAAGTCTTGCAAAGCACTTCTCACAACTTGTTACATGTACTATCAAAAAGCACTGGACTTTCACAAGATTCAGATCTGGAGGTGCTAGGCCGCAGTAGGCGCACTTGCCTAGCCTGTAAGTTCTGGTTAGAATAACGTTAGTACTTGATGTGCATGTATACAGTAGTGCCTAGTACGTTTCGAGTATTTTTCGCGAAACAAGTACTCGCTCTTTTCGAATTTTCGAGCGAGTGCTCGAGTATTCGATATACTCGTTCACCCCTACTACCTGGTCAATGAAAGCTGCCTTGTTTTCATATGCATGTATGAAGGACTGAAGCTGGGTGGCATTTTGCTGGAAAGTACTTTGAAGTAGTTGTATAAATGTGTATCCTGAAGGAGAATATTCGGACGCTTAGCTTCTTCTAGAACCCCCGGAGGTGTCGAGTTTGGTTTTGCCCACTGGCAATGTGGCTTGTGCATGCAAGTTTTCGGGTTCTTATTGGTGCTACTGGCGCTCCGTAGACTGGGCGGCTGCTTGTTCCCACATTTGTAAACTGCAAATGCCGACAGTTCATTTCTGCCTGCTTCATTTGTCGGTGATGTTGCGCAAACTGAAACGTGCTGTTTGTGTTTATGCAACCCAAACATTTGCAGCTGGTTCATCATCAACGTTACCAGGCACCAGTCGGCAACTGTCACCGCCCAACTCCGCGTCCAATGTCAAGTCATCGACGAAAGACGTTTTCAAGAAGCTAACTAACTTCAACCGTGGCAAGAGCACACCGCGAGTAAGTGCTACTGCAGTACCAGGCAGGGGTGTCGGAACTGATGCGGCAGGCGCGGCCAAAGACGCGCCAATAATTTCATCTGCAGAACTTTGAAACAATAATTTAGTAGGGGCTATTTGGACCCAATTTCCAATTTTCCCCCGGGGAGGCCCCTGGATCCCTACCTCTTGATGGCCGCACCAAAGTCGAATACCTTGCGACGCACCTGCAAGGTGCTGAGTTGGTGAACGCACCCTGCTGGGAGGATTGAATAGTGACCGGGCCGTAGTGGGACTGGAGAGAGCTGAAATATTCCAGCTTGCTTGTTGCCGATGCTGGTTTCACGCCACATGCACTAGGTGCTAAGTAACGGAAGGTGCATTCAAGTTTGGATACATGAACACGCTCGCACAGAACCCAAAATGTGTCCTTATTTGAAACTGTTTCCGATATGTTGCCATGGCAATGCAGGCATACTGGAAACATCATGCTGCATACATCACTATCCCATCATCATCATCATCATCATTGATGAGTCTGTGGTCTTGCCAACGTGCATATATCCCATCATCACTGATGGTCCGCTGTCGTTTTACAAATGTGGCTATAACAGTTACAGTAGCCTGACAGTGCAGTGTCAACGTGTGTGTATGCGTAATAGTCTACTAATAGAACTGAGCCTGACTCCAGCGATTTGTCAATTAAAGTTGTGTGACCAGTCCATGACTGACATGTACATGTGCTGTGTGTGTTTGCCGCATATGTTACTGTGTAAAGAACGTGCAGGGAGCATCGCATGCAGCAATCAGTAAGTTATCATTTCCCATTGTCGTTTTAACCCTTTAAGAGCCACAGGAAAATTTCAAAATTCTGCATTTTTTCGTGTTCCTTGGATCATAGCTTCAGTTCTACTCACTCAATCCTCACAATCTAGGGCTTCCTGGAACGGTCTCCGCGAGAGGAAGAGAATGAGGTCGATCATGATAGCCAGCACACTGCCTATCCAGCGCTAGATCGCAGCGACAGTACGAAAAATGCCCCAAATGCGTCCAATTGCGTCCCGCTCCAGATATTTCATTTTACTCGATCGTGGAGTTCCACTTTTTTTGCGGTGTACTCTTGACAATATCAACAGTGAAACCCGTGCAAATTCAAGTAAACCACCGTGACGAAAAGTCTCAAAATTCTCAATACTAAAGTCGCACTGCGCGCTTTTGAAATTGCCGCGATCGCGGCTCAACTTACGAGTGATTTATCTGAGGAACCGTTGCTCGCATCGCTTCGGGGATTGTTTCTCCCGACAGGTGAGAATTTTCTCTTCGCCCTGGATATTTCGATCGATGGATTTGAGCGAGATTGGACTAAGTTACGATCTTTTGAAATTTTGCATTTGAATGCGTCGTTTACGACGCATTCAAGTATGGGGCGGCTCTTAAAGGGTTAAAGAACATATTACTTGGCTGTCGCTTTTCCCCTTGCAGAATGTGTTTTTCTGTCTGTCTTTATCTGTCCATCCCTCCCTCCCTCTTAAAAAAAGCTAGCATGAGGAGGTTGCGTACAGACCGTTTAGGTAGGGCACCATGCATGTTGGGCGGGGATCTTCCCAGCTCCCATTGTGTACACCGGTAGGATCTTACCAGCACGGCAGTGGTGCCCGTGTATGACTCATGTCATACGGTACTCTGTGTGTGTCCGTGTGTGTGTGTATTTCTCAACGGTGTGTCGTCCGGACTGTCCTCTTCCTCATTGCCATTGTCGCTGTGCAGTCTCATCACCCATGGGGATTGGTAACAACGTCGAGGATCACCACTCCCATCATCATCATCATACCCAGCAGCCAGCCGGCCACACTGTACCGGTATTCTCTGAGGAAATGGGTAAGTGCAGTAGTCACCATCACACCCATCACTACAATGTCATGTACTGTTGTGGACATGGAAATCCGGTCGCACGTCTAGTAGTGGCCCCAGGGTAGGGATTTCAGTCACGTGATCTGCGGGGGCAAAAGTGCCTTGACAGGCATGCATGCTTTTTGAATGCCAGTCATGGCACAGCTCAGCGGGGGGTCTTCGACGTAGATTTTAGGTAGGAAGAGTGAGTTTATCGCCATTTTTATTGGCGCACCGTTGAAGAGTAGGTTTCTAGCTTTCGTTTGGTGCCTCGCACGGCGAATTCGTGCCGATATTACGCATCTCGATAGATTCTTATAGATTTCAAAGTCGCTTTTGAGGTGTTTGCCTTGGTTCCACGCTCAAGCATCAGTCAGAATCAGATTCTACGGCATCGATTTAGTCTAGGTAGGTTCCTTCAGACGGCATGAAGGGTCGCGGTAGGTAGCGGAAATTGTTTTGTAGTTGAACGCCATTGCGCGCAGTATGGAGGTGGAGAAGAAAGAAGATTGGCTTGGGCCTCAGTGCAAAGAATTGTTGTTAAGGCGCTCAAGTTTGCAGGCGGCTTTGGACTCTTATTCTGAAGAGAACCAGCTTTCTCTGCGTCGTCCTGGGCAGTTGACGAATGGCCTAGTTGTTGAACTCTTGATGTGGGCGACAAGCGAAAATTATAGTTTGCATAGTTTGATTTTGATAGTATCAGCGGTGGATGGAAAGGATTTGGAGACGGTGAATGAGAAAGTGACCAGCAGCAAGATCAAGCGCCTCAGAGATCGGAGAAAGACGTTGCTGAAGAACAAGGCCGCGAGCGACGACCTCAGTGAATTGCTAAGTAAGCCTTTTGAACTGCCCCTCAACAAGACAGTTGATGAAGTCGCTTCTCCTGTAGGAAAAACTCACGCAGTGCACGTTGAGAAACATGCCAGCACCTTTGAAAAGGACACTGCTTCAGTGCTTGCAAAAGAGGTAGTGGAGTTGAAAGAGCAACTATCTGTTTGTAAAGCAGATAACAAAGCACTGAACGAAAAGATTGCATCTTATCAAAGAAAAATTAGAAATGCAAGGAAAATAGTGGGCCGCAGGGATTGCAAATTGCATGATTTGTCCAGCACTGAGAGGGAGCAAGAAGAAAAAATTGAAGAATTGTTATTGTCGTTAGAAGCTGTGACGGATGACTTGGAAGATGCAAAGAAAAAGTTGTTAAATGAACATGAACGCGTGTATTACCATCAGAGAAAACACCAATCGTCAACAAGTAGCATTGAGAGTCTGGCTGAAGTGACTGATGAGTTGCATGCTGAATTATCTGGGTATCATAATCGCGAGAAAGAGTTGCACGAGAGATTGGACGATACTCTTGCGCAACTTGAAGAAAATGCACTGTTCTGTGCAATGGAGAATGGCCAGTACAAGGATGCAGTTAGGAAGTGTTGCCTTGCACTATTGTCACTGAATGTAGGTGTGTTGAATGTACCATCGGTCATTCGCATTGTACTGTCAATGGTGAACAAAAACATTGATAGGCTTCCGAGTGTTGGCTTATTAAGTCAGATGCTTGTTGAACTCAAGCAAGTCAGTGCCGGGCATGTTGCCGAAAAAATCCTCGAAGCTAAAGATGTTACGCTGCACAGTGATGGCACATCCAAGTTTGGAAAATTGTACCAGTCTTATCAAATTTCCACACCTGAGCAGTCGTACACGCTGGGTATCTGTGATATGAAGTGCGGTACTGCTGCTCATGGATTAGAGAAATTGAAAGAAGTTTTGAACGATGTGGAATCAGCTTGTTGTAAGACAAAAGATACTAATGTTGCCAACCAGATAGTTGCCAAAATCAAAAATACAATGAGCGATCGCTGTAGTGTGCAGAAAAGCTTTAACGACTTGTTGACAGATTACAGGGCTGAAATATTGCCAAGCGTAGTTGAAGGTTGGACCCAACTGCAGGATGATGAGCGCAGTGCCATGATAAAGATGAATAATTTTTTCTGCGGCCTCCATTACATTGTTGGCCTTGCGGATCAAGCATCAAAGTCATTGCGGGAATGGGAAGATATAAGATTTGGATCAGAAAAGATTGGTGCTAATGAAGTCCATGGGGTGTACGACACGAAAGAGTCCAGAGTTGTTCGGCTTATTCGTACCGCAACCAGTGCATTCGAGAAGCATGGAAACGAGCAGGCTGGAGTTGTGGGTGATTTCCATGCATTTCTTTCCCAATCTAACACGCAGCTCCCACTCTCTGAGTTCCGAGGAAACCGAAATTATATAGTGTTTTACAATGGTGCTGGCATTTTCTTTCTGCACGAATGCATGATCCATTTTCTCGAGGACATTCATGGAGAGACAAACCTGTTACTGAGGGCAGTTAAGGCTGACCTAGCCGCTCCTGAACTAGTTGCAGGTGCGAGAGCATGTGGTCTGGTAAGCAAGTTACTGATTTCCCCACTCTGGCGCGTCTTGGAGGATAGGGCTGTTTCGATTTTTGAGATGTCCACCATCTATACACACCTGCATACTAAGCTGGTGGAGTGGTCAACGGATTCCTCAGATATCCTCGATGGAACAGCTCGGCCCTTCCCCACTGCTGTTGTTGCCATGGCTGATCCTGTGTTGAGTTGCCTGCTCGAGAAGCATTCATCAGACGAGTGTACGCTAGAGATACTGCAGGTGCTCTGTACGAGCTTTGCTATTTTCACTGCTAGGCTTTTGGCGGATCATTTGCCGGGTGGTCGTTACCACAAGCCGGAGGCAGAAGTAGTGGAGGAGTGCGTGTCAGTACCGAACACGAATGCAATATCAGAGCGATATTTCGCTCAGCTGGATCGGCTTCTCCGCCAGAAGCCAGCTGCATCGACCATAGCATTAGATGGCATGATTGCGTATGCAAACAACCGTACTGCCGAGTGGCTGAATGCAAAGGACGAGGAGGAGCAGGCATCAATTTTGGCAAATGCCCGGAGGTCTGCACCAGCAATGCGGGCGTTATTCAAAGAACGACAGAAGGAAATCGCTGATTATAGAGTCAAAGTGCTGCAGGAGAAAGAAAAAAACATTGCGAGAAAAAGAGATACTCAGCTGAAGAGGAAGGAGCGTCTAACGAAGGAGATTGAACAGTACGGGCTCTGGGTCTCAAGTTCTGAAGTCACGGCAAAGTTGGCAGAGATACCCACGGTTGCACGCAAGAAGTCTGCTTTGAAGTCACAACTGCATTTTCGTCGGTATGTGCTACTGCAATCAGCTCCTGTTGAATATTTCCAGCTTAGCAAAAACCGGAAGGACCTGTCGGTTGACCAGCTTTCAGCGAACCTCATTCACCTTTTGTCAGCCACAGGCACTCCGACATTAACTGCTTCTGTGAGTGGGGAACCTGCTGCCAGTGCTGAAGCAACTGCTGGTGAAGCAACTGCTGATGTTGATGCTGAAGCAACTGCTGATGCTGAAGCAACTGTTGATATTGATGCTGAAGCAGCTGCTGATGTTGATGCTGAAGCAGCTGCTGATGTTGATGCTGAAGCAACTCCTGATGTTGATGCTGGCACAACAGATGATGCCGCTTTGGAGCCAGCACCCAAGCGCCGACCGGCTTGAACAGTTTCTGAATCAGGATCAAGAGGAGCACAGGCGCCAGGGAGGACGACAGTGAGCAATCTGGCTCCAAGCAGAGCGGTCTTGGCTGCCCCCCCCCCCCCCCCCCCCAACACACGCACACACTGACATCTAGCACCCTTACAGGTGCACGTCGAGCGGTCTTGGCTGCCCCCCCCCAACACACGCACACACTGACATCTAGCACCCTTACAGGTGCACGTCTGGCAAACTGTCAGCACATTTGTAGCTCATTATTGGTGCATCCTGTGCAAAACTATTGCATACTCCTTGGATATTTTCCTTTTTGGGGGAATTGTTATGCGGATAACTTTATTGATTTGTTTAATCAAATCCCGTAGAACACACACACGCACGCACATACCCACATACCAACAGCCTTGTACCGTGTACTGATCCGGGTGATTATTTTCTTGCTACCGCAACAGAGAGTTTGGACAGTGTGCATGGCCAATCAGGTCTTGCGTCCTATGTGTCGACAGAGTGACCAGACTCAATTATCAATGTGCTGTGTGTACAGGTGTATATGTATGTTTGTTCCAGGTAGCCTCTTTACTCAATGTATCTCTGACAAATACTCACAGCTGGCTGGTTTCTGTGTACAATACTGGTAGTCTCAAGTACAATGTCATGTGTGTCCGTTGCTGCGGCTATCGTGCGTCTCTGACTCATTGCAGCCGAAAACGGATCCGGTTTGACACCACAGCTTGTTGTCAACTACTACTCAAGTAGATTTATTCTCCAGATATATGCTGTATAACTTCCATGTTGCGTTTTTCCCTATTTCAGTCATATTCCACCCATTACCATGTCGGATTAAGCGTGAAACATGCTGTTGCTAGGGCCGTTGCTAAGGATGCCATTGTTGTTTTTTTGGCGGTATTTTTGAATTTTGAAAAAAAATGTTTTTTTTGGTGCCATCATAGCCAGGGCCATCCTTGAGCCAAGTTTGGTCACGATCGGATGAAGTTTATGGTTGCTATGATGTTGCTAGGGAGTTTCAGAAATCCACTTTGTGCCATCCTGCAGATCCAATTTGTATACATGTTCATCAAGGTTGGTGCGCTATGTTTGAATGCTCATAACTTTGGAAATACTGCTCCGATTCCGGTCAAATTTTCTGTAGACATTCTGTGGACATAGATGCTTCAGAAAAACGCATGAACTGGAGCACAACGCTGATAATAAAAAACCGCCTGAAATCCCTACCCAGGGCGCTGGCCATGCAGCCGTGGATAAGCGGCAGACCAGCTCATCGGATCAACATGACTATTGTGCACTGCACGCAGCGTTGTGTACGCGCTGAGGGCGCCGGCCCCGGTCAATCGACTGGATTTCCATGTCCGGCACCGGCCCCGGTCAATCGACTGGATTTCCATGTCCGGCACCGGCCCCGGTCAATCGACTGGATTTCCATGTCCGGCACCGGCCCCGGTCAATCGACTGGATTTCCATGTCCGGCACCGGCCCCGGTCAATCGACTGGATTTCCATGTCCGGCACCGGCCCCGGTCAATCGACTGGATTTCCATGTCCGGCACCGGCCCCGGTCAATCGACTGGATTTCCATGTCCGGCACCGGCCCCGGTCAATCGACTGGATTTCCATGTCCGGCCCTGGTCAATCGACTGGATTTCCATGTCCGGCACCGGCCCCGGTCAATCGACTGGATTTCCATGTCCGGCACCGGCCCCGGTCAATCGACTGGATTTCCATGTCCGGCACCGGCCCCGGTCAATCGACTGGATTTCCATGTCCGGCACCGGCCCCGGTCAATCGACTGGATTTCCATGTCCGGCACCGGCCCCGGTCAATCGACTGGATTTCCATGTCCGGCACCGGCCCCGGTCAATCGACTGGATTTCCATGTCCGGCACCGGCCCCGGTCAATCGACTGGATTTCCATGTCGGGCGCCGGCCCCGGTCAATCGACTGGATTTCCATGTCGGGCGCCGGCCCCGGTCAATCGACTGGATTTCCATGTCCGGCACCGGCCCCGGTCAATCGACTGGATTTCCATGTCTGGCACCGGCCCCGGTCAATCGACTGGATTTCCATGTCCGGCACCGGCCCCGGACAATCGACTGGATTTCCATGTCCGGCACCGGCCCCGGTCAATCGACTGGATTTCCATGTCCGGCACCGGCCCCGGTCAATCGACTGGATTTCCATGTCCGGCACCGGCCCCGGTCAATCGACTGGATTTCCATGTCCGGCACCGGCCCCGGTCAATCGACTGGATTTCCATGTCCGGCACCGGCCCCGGTCAATCGACTGGATTTCCATGTCCGGCACCGGCCCCGGTCAATCGACTGGATTTCCATGTCCGGCACCGGCCCCGGTCAATCGACTGGATTTCCATGTCCGGCACCGGCCCCGGTCAATCGACTGGATTTCCATGTCCGGCACCGGCCCCGGTCAATCGACTGGATTTCCATGTCCGGCGCCGGCCCTGGTCAATCGACTGGATTTCCATGTCCGGCGCCGGCCCCGGTCAATCGACTGGATTTCCATGTCCGGCGCCGGCCCCGGTCAATCGACTGGATTTCCATGTCGGGCGCCGGCCCCGGTCAATCGACTGGATTTCCATGTCCGGCGCCGGCCCCGGTCAATCGACTGGATTTCCATGTCCGGCACCGGCCCCGGTCAATCGACTGGATTTCCATGTCCGGCACCGGCCCCGGTCAATCGACTGGATTTCCATGTCCGGCACCGGCCCCGGTCAATCGACTGGATTTCCATGTCCGGCACCGGCCCCGGTCAATCGACTGGATTTCCATGTCCGGCACCGGCCCCGGTCAATCGACTGGATTTCCATGTCCGGCACCGGCCCCGGTCAATCGACTGGATTTCCATGTCCGGCACCGGCCCCGGTCAATCGACTGGATTTCCATGTCCGGCACCGGCCCCGGTCAATCGACTTGATTTCCATGTCCGGCACCGGCCCCGGTCAATCGACTGGATTTCCATGTCCGGCACCGGCCCCGGTCAATCGACTGGATTTCCATGTCCGGCACCGGCCCCGGTCAATCGACTGGATTTCCATGTCCGGCACCGGCCCCGGTCAATCGACTGGATTTCCATGTCCGGCACCGGCCCCGGTCAATCGACTGGATTTCCATGTCCGGCACCGGCCCCTCTCAATCGACTGGATTTCCATGTCCGGCACCGGCCCCGGTCAATCGACTGGATTTCCATGTCCGGCACCGGCCCCGGTCAATCGACTGGATTTCCATGTCCGGCACCGGCCCCGGTCAATCGACTGGATTTCCATGTCCGGCACCGGCCCCGGTCAATCGACTGGATTTCCATGTCCGGCACCGGCCCCGGTCAATCGACTGGATTTCCATGTCCGGCACCGGCCCCGGTCAATCGACTGGATTTCCATGTCCGGCACCGGCCCCGGTCAATCGACTGGATTTCCATGTCCGGCACCGGCCCCGGTCAATCGACTGGATTTCCATGTCCGGCACCGGCCCCGGTCAATCGACTGGATTTCCATGTCCGGCACCGGCCCCGGTCAATCGACTGGATTTCCATGTCCGGCACCGGCCCCGGTCAATCGACTGGATTTCCATGTCCGGCACCGGCCCCGGTCAATCGACTGGATTTCCATGTCCGGCACCGGCCCCGGTCAATCGACTGGATTTCCATGTCCGGCACCGGCCCCGGTCAATCGACTGGATTTCCATGTCCGGCACCGGCCCCGGTCAATCGACTGGATTTCCATGTCCGGCACCGGCCCCGGTCAATCGACTGGATTTCCATGTCCGGCACCGGCCCCGGTCAATCGACTGGATTTCCATGTCCGGCACCGGCCCCGGTCAATCGACTGGATTTCCATGTCCGGCACCGGCCCCGGTCAATCGACTGGATTTCCATGTCCGGCACCGGCCCCGGTCAATCGACTGGATTTCCATGTCCGGCACCGGCCCCGGTCAATCGACTGGATTTCCATGTCCGGCACCGGCCCCGGTCAATCGACTGGATTTCCATGTCCGGCACCGGCCCCGGTCAATCGACTGGATTTCCATGTCCGGCACCGGCCCCGGTCAATCGACTGGATTTCCATGTCCGGCACCGGCCCCGGTCAATCGACTGGATTTCCATGTCCGGCACCGGCCCCGGTCAATCGACTGGATTTCCATGTCCGGCACCGGCCCCGGTCAATCGACTGGATTTCCATGTCCGGCACCGGCCCCGGTCAATCGACTGGATTTCCATGTCCGGCACCGGCCCCGGTCAATCGACTGGATTTCCATGTCCGGCACCGGCCCCGGTCAATCGACTGGATTTCCATGTCCGGCACCGGCCCCGGTCAATCGACTGGATTTCCATGTCCGGCACCGGCCCCGGTCAATCGACTGGATTTCCATGTCCGGCACCGGCCCCGGTCAATCGACTGGATTTCCATGTCCGGCACCGGCCCCGGTCAATCGACTGGATTTCCATGTCCACGACAGTACATGTACGGAAGTACCGCATTTTCCGGGCTATAAGCCCGTAATAAGTAGGAAGTCTTTTTTTTCTGGTCAATTTTGAATTCTGCTTATACTCCGGAAAATACGGTACGTACACTGACAAACTTACTTCCTCCTGAGACTACTTCGTGACTTCAATTGAACTATCAGCACTGTTGAATTTAGCTTTGAGGAATCGAGTGATGGTGATCCTTGCCAATTTCTTTTTTTAATAATATTGTATCACTACTCAGGGAATAATTTATCCGGTATCGCATCGCAGTTTGCTACGCAATTCTTCTGAGGTGCGAAGCAATTTCAGAAATGTGTCGCATAAAACTGCGATGATTGTAGATTTTTCACTGGACCCTATGCTGCACAGTGTGCATGTCAGGTGTGTCCTTAGGGATGAAATAGATGAACAAAGCTTCGAAAGCACTGAGCTATGCATCCTGGCACCAGGCTAGGTTTGCAACTAAGGTGTTACAGTGTACTTGTGGTCTGAGCTTGCACTCTGATCAGCTCCGCAGAAGGACAATGTTGTCGAGTGTTAAAGAAAATTGCTACGCAACGTTTTCTAATTGATATTCAAGTTTGATTCTGCGTAGCAAAATTGCTATGCAAAAAATCGAAAGTAAATTATTCCCTGCTACTCAATACTAATATTTCTTGAGCACATATCTCTAAAATTATGAATAGAGCTTTTTCAAGGACGGGGCGCCGTGACCGCCAGCATTGCTCACCCCGAGATTGTGGTGAACAGGTCGCTTGTCAAAACGCATTGAAAAGTATACGAAATCACGGTTATAGGTTCGTCTCCACCAGCACTCGGAACGATTCTGAAGCTTGCTCTTTTTCGCCCAAGCCATGAAAGGAATTCCTGGCAACTACTCTGACTCAAACACGGGTGTACCTCCATTTATCCATTCCCGTACAAAGTGAACGCGAACTGGGCTTCGCCTGTTCACCAACGATTCAAAAAAATTCTCACACGCGATCCCAAAAAGTGATCGTTGATCCAACCTTGAAAAAGCTCTATAAAACAGGTACAAGGTAAAGGCAAGGTATGTTCGGGCCTGATTTAAATCTGGCTTTGGAAATTTTATTTTCATTCAGGCTATCAGGTTCGGCCTCATTTTCTCTGTGCTGCGCTGAGGAGTTCACAAAGAACGAAACAGCATGCTGTTCGCAGATTGAGTATAAAAGTTAGAGTTTTGTTTCCGGAGAAAGAAATTTTGTTGTGTCATGAATCATTTCAATGGCCAGCGTTGTAGAAACGAATAGTTGTGACCAATATTATCCTGCAACCCATGACCCCGCTCTTCCTTCTCCCCTCATGAACGACATGTGTGTCTGTCTGTTTGTACATTCGCTCAGGTTTCAAAAATCGAGTACCACGCCCCAAGGGGGCACGAGCAATGCCTACAACGTGGAGAACCTTCGCATAGCAGATTGCGAAACCCGCTTCTTACTGGCATTTTACCCAACGACCGCTGAGCGGCATTGGCTTTTTCACACAAACTTTCGTATTTTGTCTCATGTGGACACCTTGACACAATAATGTCAGATTATTTTCCCGAAATGATTTTCCAATTTCCCTAGTCCCGACTGAATACCTCGACCATCCGTTGTTCACTTTCGCCTCGTCAATGAAGTCTATGAAGTTTTTGAATCTGCATAGTCGGATGTGAATCAACGTGCATTGCAAGTTTCCTATTGTTTGTGTCGTTTTTTGCTACCACAAACTCTACTTGTATCAATGTGAATCATGTGACTGTACATAGCCATGACCATATATAGGACCACATTACCAGCCATGTCGAAGCAAATTTAGGATCGCACACCTCTTTTAGCAGCAGATCTGTTATTCCCTGTTTAATTTTACCTTACCCACCTGGTCAATGATGATGTATAAGCATGTGTCTTGTTGTTGCCCTGCCGGAGAGAGAGTAAATAAAACTGACGAAGCAAGGCCAGGTTGTGGGTTTCCAACTTCACAACACTATGTTATGATGTTGCATGAATGTCAGTCAGCTTCGCTAATAACGACTGCGGATACAACGCCAATCCGTGTCCAGAGCAAAGTCTCATTTACCTGTAATACATATACAGTCAACTTCGCTAATAACGACTGCGGATATAACGACAGAATTTCCATGCCCAGAGCAAAGTCCCATCCAACTGCAATACATATAATGAGACTTTGGGTAAAACGACACTTTTCTGATGCCCGGCCGAGTGTCGTTATAAGCAAAGTTGACTGTACAGTCAACTTCGTTGATAACGACTGCGGATATAACGACAATTCGCGAATAACGACAGAATTTCCATGCCCAGAGAAAGGTGCAATCTAACTGTAATACATACTATGAAACTTCAGGTATAAGGACGCTTCGTGAATAGGGACACTTTTCTGATGCCCCGCCGAGTGTGGTTATACGCAAAGTTGGCTGTACGTTGCCTGTACACACATCTACTACAAGCGTACAGTAAGTCGCGCGCCCAAGAACGTCGTTTCCAACAAGAGGTCAGTCAGGCTGGAAAGTCTGGCTGCGTTCTTGAAGCATGCTCTTAGAAATTCGTTCTGGATCGATCATGTGCATACACTACACATACATCTGTATACAGTGTGTATCCTGAAGGAGCCCAAGAACGTCCAGCCTGAAGTGCTAAGAACGTCCAGCCTGAAGTGCTAAGAACGCTACGGCCTTTTAAACGGCGGTGTTGGTTTTCTGGCAGCATTTGGGATACGTTATAATCCAGTACGAATTGTTTCTAAGAATGTGCTATAGGAATGCAGCCAGGTTCTTTAAAAAAATTAGAACATCCCAGGCTAACCCCTAGGAAACAACGTTCTTGGGCGTGCGCCTCTACTGTAGCGTTACGGCTGCAGTTGTTGTATACCGCCCTGTGGCTATCACACCATGGGGGTGGGGCACATTGTGTGCATGCCTGTTTGTGACGCAATGTGAAGTTCTGCCCGCCATCACACACCCTGCAGACTGAGTTGCACATAATCATTATTTATTTATAATTTATTATTTATTTTTTATTTTATTAATTTGGACGCCGTGCACTCTTGATATCAGGGAGTAGTATTGTACTACTCCTATCATGAACCTGTCTTCGACGCACTGACTAATGATTCTAACAAGAGGGTTACAGGACAGAACCCATGAAAGCACAGGCAGTGGTAGGCTACCGTCTCATTAGCCTACGGGATATCCTGTAAGACATGTAAATATAACGAAGAAGTTAACGCGCCATTTCTTCGTTATAATAAGCTTTTCCTCTTCTGTTGAGGCTGTAATTCCTCCTATGTGTAATGTGTGGATGTCTGAAGACTGCAAGATTGTTAACGTATCTTCTCGTTGACCTATGAATTGTGGACAATGGTTAAATTTACGACTCGTAACAATGACATGTCTTACAGTACAGAGACAACAGACTGAGTGTGCTCATGCCACTGCTGACCTTGTGACACGCCCAGAGTCACTCGCATACAGTCGTGATGGAACATCTCCAGGCGACGGAAACAAACGCCAGTAGGCCACCACAGTAGCCGCAAAGTACATTATTCAGAAGGTTAGGAGCAAGTGTGCAGCCCCGATGCTAATCATCCCCAGACACAGCATACATACAGGACGTACCATGTTTCCGTATGCAGCATACACCATCTGCAGGGCTGTGCAAATCCCGCACAGACAAATGCCTACAGCTACACCACACCCACATACGTACAGACATACATACTGGCATGGTCGGCACCCCATCCTCATCTTGCTTGATGGTTGCGAGAGCATGATTGCCACGAAGCTTGAAGTAGCAGCAAACAAGCCTTGATTGTCCTTGTTGTTTTGTACGTACATACATAGTACAGACACACAGTCACACGTACTGTCCGCCGATTGAGTACACACACACGTGTATACAAACACGTGCACACACGCACACATGGATACACACACACACGCATGCACACACACACAAACATACGGGCACACGGTTTCATACATGTAGCCCAGCAGTACATGTAGTGCAGCAGCGGACAACCATGAATCTGTGACACTATTAAAATGGAATAAGAATGATCACGCACATAACCGAGCATGCAGGATAAAAATTGTTCAAATAGTCGCAGCAAAGGTCTTACACCATGGTAAGAGCCGAGACCTAGAACTAACGGACTCAAGCCAGCGCCTACCGTTACAGCCGAATCTCAATACTCAGCAACGCGCGATTACTAGTGTGTCAAGTATGAGCGGCGGCATACCTAGAAACAGCAATAGTGGGGGTCAGCGTGGTCCGCATAACCATGCTCGGCATGGTTACCGATGCTACTACTGGGGAGCGAGCAACTGGAAGTAGCAGAATTGACTCAATACTCTATTATTGTTGTATGATTAGAAGTGCATGTGTACAGTGCCAGCACTAGACTCTAACTCGGAAATTACTAATATCTTCCAGAAATGAAATAATTGTGCATGCACCACACACAGAAAAACGCCACAATTGACCCCAAACCCACTCACGATAATTAGTTCACAACATAGCATCACTTGCACAAACCCTACACTTTGTCTTTGGCCATTGACAAGACGGTGCGGAACAAACATTGGACATCAACCGAGCATACCACTCCTGTTTTCATAAATAGATTTGACGAAGTACTTTCCTCCGTGCATTTCTGGTTCGAGGTTCTCTACCCGGTTCCATTTTGATGATGCACGTTATATTTTACTGATACGTCTCATCAGTTCTGTCACAAACACGTCCAGTACAGAGGCTTCTGCAGGGCAGCCTTCCAAAGTTGTTCTGATGTATACTTCTCGCTCAGATACAGCATCCTCTTTCATCACGTCGTCCACGCACAACTCTACAGGAACGTCCGAAGTTGCGTAGAGCACTTCAAGCTGACCATCAATCCACTCATCAATAGCCAACATTTTCTGCACGGCCTTGCGGTTATACCGCACAGTGGCGCGATGCCTAGAGAGTGGCGAGTCTTGGCTCTTCGAATCCTCTTCCACTTTGAAATTTACTCCTCCATCGCGGGGAGGTGACGTTTTAGCCTTGCACCTGGATTCTGCCATCATTCAAAATGACCAATTGTGTGGCGAGGAGACTAGTTTCTTCGTAGAAATGCTGTTTCGTACTTTCAGATTACTAATAAGCCACGAAACCTCAGGTCTACGACTACGTAGTACAGGGGAACACAGCTACAGAGGGAATAGAACGTGTTCCTCCAACTGACTTACTAGAGAACGCTGAGTATCCTAAAGTTTGACGCAAAAATGCGAACACTCGATTTGGCAGGAAAGCATAGCAAAAGCATGTCTCTCCAGTACTGAAACCAGGCCCAGCATCGATGGTGCGTCTTCATGGACTTATCTGACATGAATCTGATCTGATCTCCGCGCGCGCGGGATGTTACTTTTGCCTGGTCCCGCCGAAAAGGAAGACAAGTCTAGTCTGAGAGCATCATGTGTGCAGGATCTGCATGCTGCCCCGCGGGCCCCCCGTGCTTCTGCGCCTCGTGTAGCCTACTGTGTACATGTGTGAGACCAGCTGACACACGACTATTAATAGACGAGCTCAGATAATGAGCAACACGACTAGATAGCCTTATAAGTAACCCTAACCCATATTCGATCTGGCCAAACCAAAAAAAGAAGGATAGATAATGGCACGCCATATATGCGCCACACCGACAGGCTGCATTGAAATGTCCCAATTGCCAACTGGGTTGGTTGGTTTGTTTATTTAAAATTTTATTGCCTTGATCACGTTTTGGTCTGCGATACAAAATTTTAGGGTGCGTTCTTATTATTCTCTAGCTTCTAGGAGAAGAAGAAAAGAGAAGTCGAAGAAACTGGGATAATTCAAGAACGGGTCTTGAAGAATTCGGAGATATTTTGCACATGTCCAGCAAAATGAAGCACCAAAGGGGCCGCGGTCTTGTCGGAGTGCCACGAATATAGTGTGCGCTGTGCGTATGCGAAAAGGGGAATGCGTACACTCATGATCAACACGTGGCTTTTAGCCTAGTTCGCATGCGCTGATCCCAAACCGCGGGAATCTCCAAGTTTCAACCACCTCTGAAGGAAGCTTGGAGAGCTTGGCGGCTTTGCAATTTGGAGAGCCTACTAAAATTCGGAGAGGATATAAGAACAGCTCTCGAACTTTTCCGAGAGTCTCCAACTTTTCCGAGAGGATTTAAGAACGCACCGTTAATCTCAACATGTACCTTTTCTGATTCAATGCTCATTTTTTGCTCTTGGATATCATGTCTCTGAAGTCAAGTGGGAAGATGCCCATCTCCATTGTAAGAAGGCCTGCTACTCAAAATACCAAAGTTTCAGGGCAGTCCGATCGCTCCTTGCGGGTACATGAGCCTAAGGGGTCATCGCTGCAAAAGTGTTTGTCGTCCCTGAAACGAACGGGCATGGCAGACAGATTGGCAGTGTACGGAAAATCTACAACATGATTTATTACATCATCGTTCCCGTCAGCGTTGCAAGCCCCTTGTGAAGAATGCCAGGTCGTACGCAGGAACACTGACAAATAGGCTGTGTTTACATGAGAAATTTCAACCCGGGTCGAGTTCAGCCCGGGCTGAAAGCCTGTACGATAGACAAAATAGGTGAGCGTTTACATGAAGATAGTTGACCCGGGTCAAATACTGATATGCCGCCAAAAGTCCACTTCTACAGTTCCGTATAGTCACGTGAATCCTTTCGCGCGAAACTTGCATGTACAGACTGTCAGTGCTGTTCAAACCTGGCGCGAGATACGCACAGAAGTACATTAGTACGATTTCTTTGACCCGGGTCGATTTCAAGCGAAATGTCAACCCGGGTCAAGCGCAATGCGTCATGTAAACGCGCCATTCATTTTGTGGA